TTGATAGACACACATCAAAGACGATCAAAAGTGACAAACCAAAATTTAAATTTACAAATTTCATTGAGAGTGTTACACATGAAAAATTACTTGGAATTCATATTGAATATTCACTTAATTTTTATACACATGTCGATGCTGTTTGTAAAGAACTATATGCGGTATTAACCAAAATTTGCCCCCCAAAATCATACTTTGATGGAGTAATAAGATATCTGTCGATATTTTAAATAAAAGTCACCGAGCGCATGTGTGTTCAGGATAAATATTTTGATATAATGTGTAGAATGATAATATCAATGAAATATGTTATGAAATTTTACGAAGAATTAATTCAGCACATTTCAGGAAGTTTTCAAAATTTGAAGCATCTGTATTACGAAGAATTAAGAAGTATCTTCCATTAAGGTATACTTTTACACAGATGACTAAAATTTCCACTGATAAGAACGACAAACCGCCTATTGCACATTGTATACCTATGATTCTTGTGTTAAATTTCAATTTCAAATAGTTAGGTCAATGGCCTCGTTTTCATGCAAGGGGCCCCTGAGTATTTCTCGGAAAATACCTCAAATTTTGACACTATGACTATTGTTTTCTCCACTCGCAAAATATTACAAACAACGAAACTCTTTAAATAATATACAATTATTGCTGGTTTTGAGGTCAATACAATGATTTAGCCATCTGAGGAGTACAATATTCACCAAGCCCGAAGGGCGAGGTGAATATTGTACTTCGAAGATGGCTAAATCATTGTATTGACCGAAAAAAACAGCAATAATTGTTTATTATATGATTTATTGATAAAATGAAACAACTTATTTTATTAAGTCCTAGCCAAATACAAGAGAGATGCAGAATTAAAATGTGAATAAACCTTACCAGTTGGATCAAATTAATTTTTTTTAATCAATTTTAGTTGCCATGAAAAAAAAATATATTGTCAGTCTTTTTTATAGGATAGATTTTAAAAGGAAAGAGTATTATGAGCGAAAACTGACTGCCAAAAAAATAAGGTGTTCAGTGAAAGTTTTGGAGGGGGGTCCCTGCATCGCCTTTTACCACCCCCACCTAAAATATATATTCACTTGTGTTTTGTTCATATGAAAACAAGATGTGTTTGTAAAACACTGATGCCCCCGTATGGCAACATAGCAAAGATTAATCTTTTATCAAATGGAAATTTAATTAATTGGTACCAAAAGTAGGGTATTCTCACTGGAAAACAATTGTCAAATTTGAAGGTAAGCTAATGTTAAAGGTGTTTAATAAGTACAAAAATCTCCAAGGTCAAGGTCAAAAGGTCAATGTAAATAGTAGCAAATGAAAGGTCTTGCCACATAAAATACTTATGTAGAGCATAAAAGCCCCAACCCTAGCCGTTCAGACGTTATGGTTAACGTTCAATTTCTTAAAGTAGGTCAAACTCCAAGGTCAAGGTCAAAGATCTTCATATCCAATGAAGGGTCTTCTCACAAGGATTACATATATGAAGTATGAAAGCCCTATCCCTTACCGTTCAAAAGTTATGGCCATGGTTAAAGTTTTTTCCCAAGTATTGAAATCTACAAGGTCAAAGGGTCAAGGTTGTTGGTATCCAGTGAAAGGTCCTTTAACAAACATTGCATATGTGCAGTATAAATGTCCTGGTGTTTACTGTTCAAAAGATATGGCCAAAATAAAATTTTAAAATTTTCTTGTAAAAGTGGGTCAAACTCCAAGGTCAAGGTCAAAAGGTCAAATTTGATGGTACCCAAAGAAAGGTCTTGTCACAAGGAATACACGTATGAAATATGAAAGTCATAGCTCCACTTATTCAAAAGTTATGGGTAAGGTTAAAGTTTTTTGCGGACAAACAAACAGAGAGACAGACAGACAGACACGACAAAAACTATGTACCCCCAAAACTTTGTTTACGGGGGCATAAAAAAAATCATAGTCGTTTTAAATAGCTTTCTAAAACAATTTGTATGAATTTTGAATTTCCCAATCTATTTTTAGATCAATGTTGAGGAAATACCGTATAAGTGGAAATTTTAGCGAGACGCAAATTTAGCGATTTCTCCCTAAAAACTTGTATTTTATTTTTAGCGAAAGCAATTTCAGCGAATTTAAAATGCTTACTAAAGAAGCTTATACAAATATAATGCGATTATATTTTTAGCGATATTCAATTTTAGCGATCAAAACGGCCTCACTAATAATGCCAAAATTAAATCCTCGCTAAAATTACTACTTATACGGTAAATCCTTGTATTGACCTGGAACGTCACGTGCAGGTCAATACAACATAGTATTTTTCTAACATAGTTGGATCTTAGCGAATCAGAGAGATGGATTATATTCAATCATATAATAATGAATATTATAGCAATGTAACCGAGTTGCTCCTTATAAAGAAACGAGTAGGGTTTTGGACCATGAATGTAATAATTATAAAAAGTCCGAATTTCCTCTGTCATATTTATACATTTCTTTGTTTGCTACGTACGTCCCTGTTTGTAATTCAGAAAATATTCCACTATTAGTGATTCATAAAGTTATACATGTATATGGCTTGTCTGAGATAAAAATACCATATATAAAGATATACATGTTGTGTGTTACTGGTATTTACGTTCAAATAAAAAAAATCACAATTTTTTTAACTCTTATTAGGCAGGATAAAATCTCATGTTCTATCTGGTCGATACAATGACCATGTCAGCAAATACAATTTATCATTGAATGAAATGCTGACTGACGTTTTTCATACCAATTGTTAGTCCATTATTTATACACTGAATTGACTCCGGATTTTTTCCGTTATTTCCTGATTATGACAATGAGCACACGGCGGGTGTGACCGGTCAGCAGGGGATGCTCACTCCTCCATGGCACCTGATCCCACCTCTGATGTTTCGGAAATCCGTGTATTGCTCTGTTGTCTTGTTTTGTATATTTGTTTAATGGACGTTGAGATTGAATACTGTTCGTTATTTCCATATCATTAATTACTTCTATTGAATTTCCAAACACAACAACAGGGATTCGAGCAGAAGCTCGGCCGTCTCACTGCATCTTTCAACCTCCAAGAAACTATATATCATAATATAGAACTTAGTAGTCCGGTATACGTTGCTTTCTTGGATACTCAGAAAGCATTTGACACAGTGTGGCGACATGGTCTTATGTACAAGCTACACCGCCTGGGAGTATCTGGTCGGCTTTGGACTCTTATAGACGACTGCCATACGAATACCGCCTGTTATGTTGTGGTAAATAACACAAATTCGAACTGGTTTCCCGTATCTCAAGGAGTTCGTCAACGAGGGGTACTCTCTACATTTCTTTATTTGGTTTTCATAAATGATCTACTTCTAGACATTCAAAATAAATGTCCCAATATGGGTATCTACAACATCACAAGTTCTAATCCTGCCCTTGCAGATGACATTTCCTGTCTAGGATTATATCCTGCAGCAATCCAAAACATTCTTTCCACAGCATATGAATATTCTAAAAGTTGGAGATTCAAGTTCAACCCTGACATGTCTAGTGTTCTTCGATTTTCCAAAACATCTACCAACTATGACGAGTGCCCAGTATGGTTTCTTGGTCCAGACCCTGTGTATTTATCTAACACGTACAACCATTTAGGAATTCTTCTTCAATCCAAACTCATCTATACCGAGAAAATTGAAAATGCACACAGGAAAGGACGACAGGCTTATTTTGCCCTCCAAATACAAGAACATCTTAACCAAGTCACCATATCACGGCTTTACACCAGAATTGTACTCCCTTCGACCTTGTACGGATGTGAACTTTGGTCCAACTTACATCAGAGTGATCTGTAAACCCTTAGCACTTTTCAACAATCTTTTTAATTCGATTTCTAAAAAAATATTCAATTATGGCACGCCACATTCACAAAAATGAGCAAAATATACTAAGTAGTTTCACAGTCGATAAACTAGGTTTAACGGTTGTGTTCTATAGTTTACGGACTGTAAACTAAAGTTAACAACGTTAATCTATATTTTAAATCTATAAACCATAGTTAACGCAATAATTTATGTTTCACAACCGTAAACTATACAGTTTAACACCGAAAACAATCATTTGCGATTGCAAAACATAGATTATCCGATAAATACAGTTTCAAGATTTGTAAACTATAGTTTACAATCTGTTAATTATAGTTAACGGTCTGATAAATATAGTTTCAGGATTTGTGAAACTATGAACTCTTAACTATAGTTTATGATTGTAAACTATAGTTTACACACGAGAATCTATTTTTATCAACAAAATCTATTGTTAACGTTTTATTACAGACAGATAAACTTAGATTAGCGCTCGTAAACTATTGTTAACAACCGTAATCGTTAACTATAGTTTACAGACGATAAACCTAGTTTATCAATTGTGGAACTATGTTTAGCTAATTTTTGTGAATTTGGCTTGCCATATTCAACTATATTAAAGCCATATATGGCGTATGTACAGTGAAAATTAGTAGACTAAAATTATTAGAACTTATTGTTTGTATCATAACTTTATAAAAAGATAGAACTTTTCTGTAAATTACAAAATCTAAGTCAATTACGTTTCAAAGATATCACAATTTGTTTTGGATTTTTTTCCGACTCGGAAGAAAATACAAAAGACTTAAATAACACATTACAGAGAAGATAAAATCGTGTTATTAGTTTTTTGTAAACTATAGTTAACACACAGAAATTTTTATCAACAGCTTGAATTTAAATGTTTTAACTATATTCCTTTACTTAATTTTGCTTTTTTCAGACATATATTTTTTTGATCAGTTACGCCATATATGGCTATAACGAAATTAGAAAGAAAATTAAATTATCCGTTTCCTTCGAGTGCATAATTTCGTACCATTTTCTGTTGACCCCCCCTCCCCCTGGCGGTTTGTTGTATTTACCTTGAAATAATGTCAGAAAGGAGAAATTATAACACTATTAAAAATATTGGCAATGTTTAAAATGTCGGACTACTGGGCCGTCGGACTATCGGACCGTCGGACTACTGGGCTGTCGGACTATCGGACCGTCGGACTACTGGGCTGTCGGACTATAGGACCGTCGGACTACTGGGCTGTCGGACTATAGGACCGTCGGACTACTGGGCTGTCGGACTATAGGACCGTCGGAATACTAGGCTTGAACCGAGCACAACATCACTTCAGAGGATTACGTATATTGCACGTAATGCAATGGCGTCATCTGAAGCATTAGCTATCCCTGAACTGCACAGATTATCTAACGAGACTGTTTTCAGTTGACTACGAATTATTGCAAGAGGATTATTCATGCCATTGTTCCGACCCCACAACATCCCAATTATCGACTTCAAAGATCTTTGATCAATAGAGTAAAACCACAGCATCACTGCTGAACATATTGGTTGCGATAGAAGTCTAGAATGTTTATCTGTGCTTAAGCTTTGTAATGAATGTAAGACATATAACTGTCCAAAGGACGTTAAAAAAGTTGGTGGTGGTAGTGTAGTGATATGGAAAACGGTATTATAAGGAAGAAAGATTGATTTGGTTCAAATTCAATGGACTTGGATGGAAAAAAGGTACTCTAACCATGTGCTACCTACACATGCCCATTCAATTTTGCAGCATCCTAGAGCCGTATAGCAATCTCACAATAAACAGCCAGATACGGCTAGTTTGACACTCCAAAGCAACAGCAACTTGTTTCTGTCACAGTCGTCTAAATCGCTAGATTTAAGCAGATTAAGCAAATTAAGCAGCATTGGACAAAATGGATTGACATGATTTGCCAAAGACAATTGCATCCCCAGACTCTGCAACAGCTGATCAAAGTTCTACATTTGGGGTGGGAGAGTATTCCTATATACATTTTTTATTAAACACATTTGCTTCCATCAGATGCCGTTTGTGGCTATCATTTGTGTCCGGGGAAGGGGGGGGGATACCAGATATTAATCTTTATCATATACTTAGTAGTAAATACACCGATTCTGTACGGTGTGATACGGGTGACGTCACAATACCCCATATCACGGACCGGTCCGAAAAGCCATATCACGTATCGGACCGGCGGGCCGAAAATCCATATCAAACCGGAAGTAACGTTTGTATTAAGTTTAAAAGTTAATTTAGTTGATTTTATTTAAATATTCATATAAAATTATTCTTTAATGACATTTGTGGTCTTAATTTTTTTCCAGTTACCTAAAATTGGCTCTATTAAATTTTAAAGAAAAATGTCACTGACAAGCACAAACATTCTTCAACGACCATATGTGAACTCGCATATTAAGTATTTTAAATATATGATAAATAGAATACTACATACTAAAATCCATATCATATGTCACATCAGCCCTCGGGCCCCATATCAGCCCTCGGGCCTTCGGCCCTCGGGCTGATATGGGGCCACTCGGGCTGATATGACATATGATATGGATTTTAGTATGTAATATTCTCTATTTAATGGCCTTAAACTGTCTATAATTTTAAAATTGTTGAGTAATTATGACATTTAGATAGTATTCCTGTTGCTTACCACATATTTATTTCATCAATACATCATTTTACTACATATATAATCTTTATGTTGAAAGTATCACTAAGATTCTACTATGCGTTTCTTTTATTTTTTTAAGAGTATAGTAATCGGGATGTCCATTGAGTTGTTTACATGTATGATCAAAACATGCATTTTGTCATTGTAATCCTATGCCCAGGAGGCGGGGTATCATTTAGTGAGCTCGGTGCTCACGGTACCTCTAGTTTTAAAATACACGTATCTTAGATTTTAGAATGCAAAAAAAAAAAAAAAAAAATGAATTGGTCCATATTGGACTTTTGGAGTTTTATGAAGAGACTTACTTTTACATTCGACAGCTGACTTTTACATTTTAGTAAATGGAGTTTGTATGTGTTTAAATTGTAAAAGTCAGTCGTCAACTGTAAAAGTAAGTCTCTTCATAAAACTCCTTTGCGAAGACACTGACTTTTACAGATGACGGCTTACTTTTACAACAGGAAAATATACGGTAGCTCTTTTGTGAAGAAATATTGATTTTAATATTTAACAAAAAGATAATTACGGGCTATTTCAAAGATCATATTACGTTGTCGAGAACGAAAACGGCAACATTCCTACCCTCAACACCCTCCCTTCAAGTATTGACTAACGTCTGCCGAGTTTTCCTACCGAAGTTTGTCTTCTTCTTTATTTCATATCTTAAATTATTTAAAATAAAATGATATTTTAACTCTAATAAAGAAAGTATCCAAATAAATTTTATTTTACTGTCAATTATAATTTTTGTTTGATAAATTATTTTAAGCCCCGAATACATAACTCGCACCTCTTGAGATGTTTTCTATTTTCTTTTCTCAATTCTGTACCTCCGTACATGACGCAGGTAAGCTGTCAAACGTAAAAGTAAGTCTTTTCATAAAACTCTAATAATACCACTAATGGACAACCTTATTAGAAACATTCCTTCAGGTACAAGTACGTATAATTCTCTCTCACGTACATGTACAAAATTAATGTACCCACCCCCCTCTTTCTGGTACGTGCACTTTATAACTTTTATCTCTCCTGTCTCCTTTTCCTTCTCCCTCTTTATCCACAGTACCCATTTCTACGGAGGTCGGTTATACTAATTACCACACGATATATAATCCTTTCTTCATTAAATAAATAAATCACAACCCTTGTGTACTAGTATGTCAACTTACCGTATATCTTCGTAAAGGCGGGATCTCGTGCACATTAAATCCCGTTATCGAACACAAGCTGTCAAAACATGTTTTATTAGTATTGATACAGGTAAATTAATGTCCAGGTCTATTTAAATAAAAATCGTGATCTATTAAAAGCATTGGCGTCAGAAGCAAATTGAAAGTGGGGGGCTAAGTGTGAGAGAAATTTTTTTGTACCTCCAAAAAACCCTGATAAGCTAAAAAAAAAAAAAAGGGAAATGTCTGTTACACAAACACGGAAATCCTATTTCCGTGGGGGGAGAGGGGGGGGGGGTTAGGTTCTAACTACAGTACCAAAAATTTTCTTCCACCACCAACTCTTTCCCAAACTTTAATCCCCTAGCCCCCCCCCCCGCCCGGTTCCGACGCCAATGAAAAGGATTATGAAATGATTGGGTATTATATAATTTACATGCAATTTTCTAGTCAAGCTTCTGTAATTCTGCAACTGGCATTGGTGCGGGAAGCAAATTGAAAGTGGGGGCGGGGGGAACTGAAAGGAGGGGGGGGGGGCTTAACCAACAAAAAAGGTAACCTCCAATTTTCAATGCCTCTATTATGTATACATTTGCGAAAAAAGTGGGAGGCTAAGCCCCCCCCCCCCACCCCCGGTTCCGACGCCTATGTCTGGTATAGGATGCATGCATATTAAGTAATCTGTAACTTACTTAAAATCCATCAGAATCATGATCATAAATTATCCTTTTTGTTGAAATGTCTAGAAAACCGGAGTAAATTAATCTTATATTTTACATATATTAGGAGACCAAAGGTCACCATAGCTCAACAAGCATATTGTACATCAGTACGGGAACCAGGGTCCGTGTAACACTTAACAATTCAAATTTCTAAAACGATTTAGAGTTTTGGAATGTTAATATATTACTTCAAATATCTAACTTTCAAAAACTCAAACTGATTTGGTATATTGAAATTTAATATTTTAGTTCAAACACCTAACTTTCAAATTTCTAAAAAGGTTTTAGAATTTGAATATTTTAGATTTTTACCTTAAATGTTCAAAATTCAAATTTCCAAAAACGATTTTTGTATTTTAAACGTTTGACATTTTATTCTATCGTTTGTTTAGAAAGTTTACGCTTAACAATCTAAATTTCGGTAGCATTTTCGTCTTTTGAATATTTAAAATTTACTTCAAACTTCCAACTTTCAAACGCTTTCAACTTTGAGAAATTTAGAATTTTGATATAAAAACTCAACTTTTAAATAGCCAAAACACTTTGTACATTTTGAGTTTTTAGAAGTATACTTCAAATATCCAAAATATCAAATTCCATAACTGGTTTAAATGTTGGATATTAAAGTAAAATTCTATAAACTCAAAGTGTTTACGTTATTTGAAATTAGAACATTTGAATCAAAATTCTAAATTTCTAAAAATCTATAGCGTTTCAAAGTTGGAGTTTAGAAGTTTGAAGCTAATTTCAAATACCCAAAAGGCGAAAAATATTACCGAACTTCAGATTATTAAGTGTAAACTTTCTTAACAAACGGTAGATTAAAATCTCAAAAGTTTAAAATACAAAATTTGTTTTTGGAAATTTGAATTTTGAATATTTAAGGTAAAAATCTAAAAAACTTAAAATTCTAAAACTTGTTTGGATATTTGGAAGTTTAGATTTTTGAAGTGAAATGTTAAATTTCAATATACCAAATCAGTTTGAGTTTTTGAAAAGTTAGATATTTGAACTAATATATTAACATTCCAAAACTCTAAATCGTTTTAGATATTTGAATTGTTAAGTGTTACACGGACCGAACCAGACACCCTATATTGTACATCAGTAGGGGGACCAGATGTTACTTTTCAGCTGTATATTGTACATCAGAAGGGGGACCAGAGGTAACCTTATTTTGTCCATAAATAAGGGACAAGAGGTCACCTTATATTGTGCATCAGTAGGGGTACCCTTTCAACGTTATATTAAGATGATCCCGTGTCCCCAAAACGATGTACAATATAAGGTGTCGTCAGGGCCCCCTCAGGCACGTAGCATCGTTTTTGAAAGAGTGGGGGCAAACAAAAAAAATTACCTTTCCTGTAAAACTTGAAAAGCAAAAAAAGAAAAAAAAAGAAAAAAAAGGGAAATGGATAAAAGAAAAGTTGGCCAAAGTCGAAAATCCTATTTCGTGGGGGAGAGGGGGGGGGGGGGGGGGGGTTAAGAGTTTTTTCAAGACCAACTTCCTTTCACTTCCAATTTCTTTCCATACAATACTACATTTTCCCTCATATCACTATACTGTGGTAAAAAGTGGGGGGGGGGGGGGGCTTCCAACCTTTCCATTGATATATTCAATAATAAAGGTATAGTTGGGAAAAAAAGTTGGGGGGGGGGGGAGTCCCCCCCCCCCTGTTGCTACGTACCTGCCCCCTTTGATGTGCAATAAGGTTACCTACGGTCATCCTATCAATTGAAAATGTAAGGTGACGTGACCTGATCCCTCTTATGATTTTCAATATAAGGTGACCACTGGTCTTCCTATTGAAGTACAATATTACTTTTATATATTGTAAAGGTATAAAGGTGACCTCAGATATTTTTAATGATGAACAATACATGCTTACCAAAAGTCCTCCTAATTACCATCACGTTTCTGCTAATATGTACACGTGTATTAGAAAATAGATCTGTTTAAGGTTATATAAATAGGAATATTTTTGAGCAAGACACGTACAGAAAACTGTCAATTACATGCATTATATTAAATTCAACCAATATATAAGGTGACCTTAGGTTTCCGTATTGATATCAATGAAATTATCTTTGTGGCTTTAATGCTAGAAGAGTTCCTAAAATGTTTTATTACAACTTATGACGAACTTATGACAAACTATTTGCAGGGGACCCGAGGTCCTCGTTTAGCTTGTGTTTGTCCTTCTGCATTGAATGCACACTCGGTACACCTCGGCCAATTCGTACCTTCAAAAATCAGCCGAGTTTTGCCGAATGATTACTCAGAAAATACGCAAGATCGATCATTGATGTATTCATGAGGAAAGATAAGTAAAATCTATTAGTAAAACTCGTTGCTAAACAGTCGTTGAACCAGATGAATCAATTCATGAGAGGAGCTAATCCTTTTTTAACTAAGCATACTCTTTTCATTAAATTTTCATTGACAATAGTCACATTTTAAAGCTGATAAAATAAATTCTAAGCTTTCCTTATTTGAAAATTTATTTACTATTTAGAGCTCTATCCTTTTTAATACCTCATACATATGGCACAAAATTGTTCGAACATTCGATTGTTTGTCAAAATAATGAAAAAAGAGAACAATATTTTTTTTTATATTACATTCAAGTACGTGCAATATGACCACGTACATGTATTTAAAATAACAAAATGCAGTTTTTCCCATATTCAAAGAGGGTGATTTTTTCATCTCAAGTGAGCAGTTCAGTCACGCTCGCTCGCAGGAGAGAGAAAGAGTAAGTCGGGGAAATATATATTTTTCCCGATTTTGTCGCAACAACGCTGAAAACGGAAAATTAAACGGAAACGTATTTGTAATAACATAAGTAGAAAGATTAAAAATGGCTTGCGATGGGTAAGGCAATTACATTTTTTACCTAATTAAGTTTTAGTTTGTTTTAAAAGAGAACAAAAGGTCAGTGATTTAAAGCTTTAAAATGTGACTATTGTCAATGAAAATTTAATGAAAAGAGTATGCTTATTAACCATCTAGGTTTTTAATGTATGACATTCCAGTCTCTTATTGGTGTTAAGAAAGTTTCCTTATTGCACCTCCTACTTTATTTTTTAATCGAACACATATTTTGTCATTGTCTTATACCTCTTGGTAAAATGAAATGATACTTTCACAGATTCTTTGTTACATAATACTAGTATCATTCTCCTTTCTTGCTTATCTGATATCAATGTTGGGTTTTCCTGAGCAAAAGATGCACATTTGCCATTATAAATAATTTGGAAGGAAGGTGTATCATTTATTTGAGGTCATTGCGCACAGTGCCTTTAGTTTTATTGATATAGATTATATATTAGTATATTATTTACCAGTCCTGCTAAATGCTGCACAGGGTTTATGTGGAATGATGATTCAAAGTCATGTGAACGTATGTAAAATCAAGTTTATATATTACTTTTCTATTTGAATTTTTTTTTGGATTTAAACAAAACGTCAACACATTTAATGATTGAAGATCCATCATTAACGTATGCTTTAGATTTTTGTTGTATGTTATACACGCAAAATTTTGGCACACAATTTTAGAATGCAGTCCAGGGTACGTTGGAATCAACTGTTCTGACCCTTGTCTTTATCCAAATTATGGCATCGAATGTCAGATGTTGTGTACCTGCTCACAGCCTGCTTGTAATCCATCCTTTGGATGTGGTAAGCATCAAAAAACTTTTTCAAAAGCATGACTAATAACTGAAAGATCGATTTTCTTAATTTTTATCCAGCTTTTTCAGTAGATTCTTAGAGATTCGCTCCGTAGCTTTTCAGAAGTCTGCATAAAGAGTACCTTTGTACAGTGAAATGTTTTATGCTGGTTTTAAATTAAATTTATTAAACTGTCAAAAGAATGGAGGCGTACAAGGCGAGGACAATCCCCCGCTCTGAAAAAAGACTTCTCTCATTCTAAAAGTTAGTAGTATTTTTTCAAAATATTATGGTTTATATCATTTATTCACATCAAATTCTGTATTTCATTGTTTTAATAATTTATTAATAATTTATTTTTCACTCATGTTTTTAAGACATTTGAAAACAAAAAAGAAAACGCTTCACGTATGATTCGAACTCTCTCCATAGCGTAGGTTGGGTCCAAGACCAACCGGTTTAACGAATACGCTACGAAGTATATGCATTATTGATGTCTTTTAGTGTGATTTAAATGAACGGGTTTGTTGAAGCGTAAATTTTATCAGAAAAGTTCGATTTTCATGTAGAATGGGTTCAGTACGGAAGCCCTGGAGGGACATTGACTTACTTGTTATGACTTAGTCAATGTCCCTCCAGGGCTTCCGTAGTTCAGATTCCATTTTTTGGACAAATGAAATAGATTTCGCATTTAGATTTTTATCATCTAAGCGTTCACGAAGAATTGAGACTTGACCCATTCATGTTCAAAATTCGTTTTTTATAGCTCTTTTAAACCCATTTTCCACTAAATATGCTTAACTGTCAATTTTGAAATAAAGATTATAAAATGATAAGTCGTTCAGTAAAATTAAATAATAGAATATTTTGAAGATGACATTACTGAGAACATGATTTTAGAAAAATATAACATTTCTGTGAATTTTGAAAATTGAGAAACATTTTATCTCAGAGCGGGGGATTGTACACGCCTTATACGCCCTCTTTCTTTATCATTTTATTTGGCAAATATATCATGGAAGTCATTGAAAAAAAAACTTAATTTAGAATTTTAACTATTTTACATATACTTATATATCTAAAAACAAACATCACAGTCAGATTCCTACTTTTTATTTCATTTTCTGAATATACATATGTATAAAGTAGCTTAAACCATTCTGCTTCAATTCAGAAAAATATCAATACTGTCATGATTTGCTATTAAATTTTTTACACCAGAAATATGAAACGGTCAATAATTATTTGGATACAAATTTAAAAACTTTGAAAATTGAATTATTTATTAGACCTTATTACAATGCAAAAAGGTCATATTAATTGCCCTATAGTGCTAAAAGAAGCACACAGGTTCCTCTTTTATTGTTTTATGTAAACTTCAATGAGCTATATGTCTAAAAATAAATTGGACAAATTTTTTTTAAATACTTTTGATACCAGGAACCAGCCTCTTTTAAATAAACATTATTAACTAATACATTGTTATATCATAAACAACTACATGAATTGTGGCTTTGATATTGAAAACTAAAAAAAGAAACTGTTTTCCCGCTAGCATGTACATGTAGAAGTATCTAGTAATTTTTCCCCGATTTTAATTCCTCTTTAATTTACACAATAAAAATATACTTGAAATTTGAATTAATTTGAATTTGCACATCTTATGACCTGGAAAAGCTTGCATCTTCAAATAATTTATTGTTACTCTGTAACATATATTTTCCGGTAATTTTTTTTATTTTGATAAAAAACATTATATAATTTATTGAGCCATCATCGTTTTTTTAATCTGATTTTTTCTGCAATTCCACATCATCTGTTTATTCACGTGAACAACATACATGTAGCTGTTTAAACGTAAAACCTGATAAAACAAGAAAATTCAAAGATTTGTGGTCTCTTGCTTTCGGTGTCTTTGTGGGTGTGATGTCTTTCTTTATGGCATATTGTGTCAAATATGAACGCCTTATCAAAAATGTCTTTTAGAAATTATCACCGAAGTTGTTTTTTTCTAAAATATAATGTCAATCGTGAAGGTAAAGGGGACAGAAATCATAGCATGCTCGAAAATATCTTTCACAGAAATATCTTGAAATGCATATATCAAATTTGAAAGCCCTATCTCTTCCCAATCAACAGTTATTAATCAAGGTAAAGGGGTCAGAAATCATAGCATGCTAAAAAATATCTTTCACAGAAATATCTTGAAATGCATATATCAAATTTGAAAGCCCTATCTCTTCCCAATCAACAGTTATTAATCAAGGTACAAGATCTATTTGTGAGACAAAGATGACCCATCACTTTTTTAAAGGCAAATTAAATATCTTGGTACCCAAAGCAGGGTCTTCTCCCAAGAAATACGATTGTGAAATATGAAAGCCCAAGCCCCATCTGCTCAAAAGTTTGAAAACTCCCATGTCTAAGGGCCAAAGCTGTTTTTTTTATTTTTATTAAAGGTCTTGTCACAAGTAAAACATATATGAAGTATGAAAGCCTTTACCCTTACCAATCAAATGTTATTTCCAAGGCTAAATTTAAAAAAAAAGTATACTAAGTTCAATCTCAAAGGTAAAGGCCAAAGGTTCAAAGCATATGATATCCAATGGAAGTCTTGTTACCAGGATTAGATATGTAAAGTATGAAACCATAGACCTTGACCTTCGAAAGTTATGTTCAAGGTTTCTCTTTAAAAAGTAGGTCAAACGCCAAGTTCAAAGAATTAAATTCTTGGTATCCGGTAAAAGGCCTTATCACAAGAATTATATTTGTAAAGTATGACTTCCCAAGCCCTTACCCTTCAAAAGTTATGAAACTTTTTTTATAAGTACAGGAATATCCAAGATCAAAAGGTCAAAGTTGTTTGTATCCAATAAAAGGTCTTGCTACAAAGGATACATATTTGAAATATGAAAGTCCTAGTATCTATCGTTCAAAAGGAATGGCCAAAGTAAAATTCTGTAATTTTTGTGTAAAAGTGGGTCAGACTTCAAGGTCAAGGTAAGATTTGTTGATACCCCAAAAAGGTCTTTTAACAAGGAATACGCATAGTGAATATGAAAGTCATAGCTCCACTAACATAAACATTATATGTGGGCAAAGAACTAGACGGAAAGACAGAAGAATGAAAATTATGTCTTCTCACTTTCTCGAAAGTTGTGGACAATAAATCTGTTTACCAGTCGCTCTCAGGACATTAAACCTTAACCTTTGCTCATTCTTTTCTTATTTGTAAACCTTTGTACAAATAAGCAAACAAACAAAACACTCTAATTCATGAATATGTTTCAGATGATACAAGTCCAAAGATCGGAAATACAGTGGGAATCAGTGACATTAGTAAAACGACCAAACAGACAACAGATCGTGTAATAGATCTAAATGGATCATTGAAAACAAACGAATCCTTTTCTATCAGTAGGGAATTGTTTGCCGGCATTTTGGCATCAGCATTAACTATTATTATTGGTATTTCATTATTGCTGATTTTTTTGTTCATTCGAAAACTACTTCTTTTAATAACAAATCGTGACCAAAACGCTGTCAATGAGGAGAACCATTTTTATGAAGAAGTTGCTTTAGAGAGACAAAATGCAAGCTATCAGGGTTTACATCTACCAACTCCAAGCATCTGTATTCCTATTCAAGATGGACAAATACATTTGACAAAATGTAATTCTCACTGCAAAATCGAGATCAATATAAAAACTGACTTACTTGATAAGGCTCTTCAAAACAACCCTGCAGAAACATACCTTGACTTTAACAACATCATTGAAAATAAATATCGAAACAGCACACTTCTTAGCAAAAGACATTCAATCTAAAGAATTTTAAATACATTTATATCTTCAGAAAAAAATCGAAAAGTTCACATTTCTTTAAATGTCAAGGGAATACTCTTAAAAGAACAAGTATAGAGCTAAAAGATATGTACTTGTAGACATCTTATTCCATCTATAAAAAATTAAAAGTTTGATTGCAATTTCTCTACCGACCGACAAAAGCTGTCTCGACTCAATTATTTTCATTGATTTCGTGTATCCTGAAAAATAGATTTTGAAAATTCAGCATTGATTTTTAAATTTCCTTTGAAAAAAATCTCATCTACCTAGCGACAAAAATTAATCATCCTGTATCGGTAGTGCTCTAACGAAAGCTAAAGGGGTCAACTGAAGATATATAATATGTATACTATACATGACAATGTTTTTCAAGGTTTTGATTTCTTAATTTGTCTGCTGGTTGATCCCCCTTTTTTCTATTGTATATTATTTACAATGACATTATGGTGCTGAGGGTCAGATTGTGCAATATTGTGATAAAGATATGTATTATTTTATATTTAATTCCCCTTTCCTGACCCCCTTTCTTGTATTGTAAATATGTTTTACTACTTTTACGTCATTTACTTCAATAAATGACATTTTTCACTTCAATGATGGTGTATGTTTTTGCCTGCTTTAGCCAAAAAAAAAGCTCAGTTGTCTGGCAGGAAAACAAAAGAACATAAAGCTATAGTTTACTATAATAAATCAAAGTTACAAAGTTTTCATTATAGTAAATCAAAGGAATTTTCATTATAGTTAATCAAGTTCTAGGGTTTTTTGTCATAAGTTAAAACAGCAAAGCTATGATTGTTTCCTTTTATTTGACTGTTTTAATTAAGGAGGTTGATATGTGGATAGTTGCGCTGTTTTTTGTTGTACATCTTAATTTGAATATATACACAGTTATTAATTCAGATGTAGTATTTACATTGAAAAAAAAAGCCGGGTTGATTAAATACGATCAAGAAAATATTTTGATCCAAAATGATGCATATAATTTTGATAGTATATTGTTTTCATATATAAGACTTACGTTGCAGGTGCATAACATTAAATGTAAATAAATGTAGCTGTGAGTTGGGTTCACAACGGTACATGGAAAGGGAAATGAACGAACTCGAGATGTTCTACAAATTAGTTTTTATATCATAAATGATTTTTCATTGGCAATTGTACATAATTAAATTGAAATAAATATTGCTTATTTATCAGCACCAGAGACAATTTTTACATTAGAATGTATGTCTTGTTCATTAGCTTTTTTGGGGACGGGTCGGGTTTTTGAAAAGTTTTCTGTAGCTTTAATGAATCTTAAACTTGATAAATCAAACCATGTACAAATTGTAAACCAAAACACATAATTTTTCGGGATTTATACCATTACGCTTTTAAAGTTCTAACTATAGTCAACCAAAGTTTCAAAATTTTCACCATAGTAAATCATGATAGTTCCAAAAAGTTTTCATAGAAGTAAGTCAATATTCCAAAGTTTTCACTATAGAAAATAAGTTTCAAAGTTTTTTCCCCAATTGTAACATGTAATCAAAGTTCAAAAGTTTTCTCTATGGTGAATACAAGTTCCAATAGGTTTAACGATACATGCATTAAATATTACAAAGTTTTTACTACATGTATTTTACTGTAGTTAATCGAAGTTTTTAAGTTTTAACTACAATGAATCGAAGTTCCGAAATGTTTGGTTTGATACTACAGTTAATTACGGTAAACTATAGTTAGCTATTGTATTTTTTAAAATCAGGATAGTGTAATCAAACCTCATATGTTGATGAATACTGATGAAGGTTATTCATCTACATCAACATCTTTTGACCTCGCATTTTCCTTTGACCTTGACTTCAATTTTCTTTGCGTAAGTGTAAAGTTTACCATAGCAAAAATACTAATTGTAAGCTATAGTTAAGAATAGTTTGCTAAAGTAAATCAAAGATGCAACGTTTTCAGCAGAGTTAATCAAAAGTTTTTTAAAGTTTTCACTTTAGTACATGTAAATCAAAGTTCCAAAGTTTTCACTATAGTAAATCAGAATTCCAGTGAAATAAACCCAGTTTAAAAGTTTTCACTATAGCTATAGTAAATCAAAGTTCCAAATTTTTCACTCAAGTAAATCAAAGTTGAAAAGTTTTCACTGTAATAAATCAAATTTTCAATTTTTTTTACCATAGTACATGAAAGTTCAAAAGTTGTCACTATAGTAAATCAAGGTTCCGAAGTTTTAACTATTAGTAAATCAAACTTCCAAAGTTTTTACTGATATTAATCAAAGTTTTGAAGTTTTTTGATTACTTTAATAACTTATTGTATTTTTATTTCAGTTTTTAATGAATTGATTGTTTTAAATTAAGAGATTGATGTTGAGTTAGCTGCGGCTGGTTTTTGTGTTAATCTTTATATTAATAAACAAAATTATTAATTGAAATATGAAATATATATTTAACGGTCGAAAAAAAGTGTCGGTTGAAGTTGACAAAGCATATATTTTGATTCTGAATGACACGAATTTAATTTTATAGCAATTTTTTTTTCTCCACTAATAAGATTTACTCTTAATCTGCACAACATTAAAATTTTATAGATTAGAATTGAAATTGCTTATTTATTGGCGAGAGAGACAATTGTTACATTATATTTCATTATTTTGTACATTATTCTTTGATGGGACAGGTCAGGTTTTTAAAATGATCTCTGAAGCTTTAATGAATTTTAACATTGAAATTATGAAATATAGAGAATGGGTTGCTTAAACAAAAATCAAAGGCTATTACGAGATATAATACTGAATCAAAGTTTTCACTATAGTAAATCAAAGTTCTAAAGCTTTTCTATAGAAAAAAAAAATTTCGAAGACTTTCTTTGTTTAATCAAAGTACTAAAGTTTTCACTATAGTGAATTCAACTTCAAAAAGTTTAGATGATGCATGTATTAATTAAAAATTACAAAGTATTTTCTATTTTACTGTAGTTTATCAAAGCTCTAAAGATATATAAGGAATTGAAGTTCCAAATTGTATAATTTGGTACTACAGTTAATAATGCTAAAGTCAAGTAAGCTACAGTATTTTTTAGGGATAGGCAAGCAAACATTATCTAAAGTTAAACTTAAAAATAAGATCTAAAGGAAAATAAAATTAAACTTTTTGCCATGTCTTCTGTGTTGTCATTTTCCATTGTAATGATTACTTCTGTGAAACAATGGACAAGGCAAAAAAGAAGAATTTTGATCGATGTTCATTAAACATAAAAAAGTACAAGACCAAATTATGGACCTCTGGAACTTTAGGTGGATCCTATCAAGTTTCTAGGAGGAGAAGGAAAGAACATACCCTACTGGGTGGTAACAATCGTTTTAGCCCCTATTGATTGGGAATAATTTAAACATTTACGATCTAACTATGTGTTTGAAATAAGGAAAATGTCCTAATTTATGATTCAATTTTGAATCACGAAAAGATGTTGAATCTTTATATAGTGATAACTCTACCTGTTTCAACATAACATTTTCCAGAAGTTTGAGTCTTTTTCAAAGCATTTGTTAAAATAGAAATCTTCAAGAGATCTATGCAAACTATATCTTGACGAGTGATATTCTCATAACCTTGAACTTACTTAACGTATTCTTAGGGTATTCATTATCTAAGTTTTTAATTTAGCTTTTTCAAGAAATGTATGTATATGCATTATATCACCTTGAAGACTTAAGTAAGAGTGAGATATATTTTGAAGAGTCCCTACAATGTACCTATTAGTATGACAGAACAAGCTTGACTTGTAATTAAAACAAGGTGTGTTTGCATTCGATATCAAAAACCTTGGTCGGATTTGTTTTTGAGATCATTTCAAAATACTTTTTCTTATACTACATGTAATATATATATATTTTTAAAAATGGTCCAAGCAAACAGAGGTTTGTCATAATTGAGATTCTGATGACAATAACGCCATATCACACGTATATTCATATTATATACAGTACTGAATTATATTCTGCTGTTCATGAAAAGCATATTAAAAAAAATCCAAAGACAGCATCTCTCCAAATTTGATTTTTTTAAATCCCAATCTTACACCCAGGGTTATTGAACCTATTAAATTAGGTCAACATGTGTGGCGGTTTAGACATAAACAACCAGGTTACAATTTGTTAGCCCATGGGATCTTGAAGTGAGGTATTTCAAAATCTAATTTTTCTCTATTTCATTAACGATTACAAGAAGCACACTCGAGACTTTGGCTTTGCTGAGCTTAGCGTAGTGAAAGAACTATATGCGGTATTAACCAACATTTGCCCCCCAAAATCAAACTTTGATGGAGTAATATTTAATTAAGTCCTTAAACAGGGGAGTATATGCTGACTTCAAAGCACTGAATAATTTCATAAGTAATGACGTCATATGTACGTAATGATGTCACAAATATGACGTAAAATTCAGTTTTTTATGAATTTTGCAGAAAAATGTACATATTTCGTCGATATTTTAAATAAAAGTCACCGAGCGCATGTGTGTTCAGGATTAATATTTTGATATAATGTGTAGAATGATAATATCAATGAAATATGTCAATATTGTTCCTGAACACACATGCGCTCTATAAATTCTAAAGCTTAAATTGTTGAAATTTTGTCCATTTTGTCCTCTTTCTGAAAAAGGATATAAAATCGGACTAGGTTGTGACGTCATAAAAACAGAAATTGTGAATACACTGCTCTGGAACTGTAATATTTTCTGTAAACTTATATTTCTCGTACAATTTATTGAATTCAGCACATTTCAGGAAGTTTTCAAAATTTGACTTTTGTGGGGGCAAACATATGCAATATACCGCATATAGTTCTTTTCTACATGATTTCTAGTATATAGAGGATATTCAATGTTTTGTAGTTGAATATGGAATTTATTTCACGCGTGGGACAGGATTTTTGATATTTTTCACGAGTGCGAAGCACGAGTGAAATTTTTTTTATAAATCCTGTCTCAGGAGTGAAATAAATTTTATATTCAACTACAAAACATTTTGTATTCATGTTCATATTCATTTTTGTATTCATTCATGTTAACATGAATTAAGCAACTTATTTTTGGTAATTTTGACAGTTTTTTTTGCTGTCAGAATGGTTTTTTTTATATCCACCTATCTTATATTATGTCAATTAAGATTTTTTAAATTGAAATCTTCGTTATGGGAAGGAAAATCGAAAGTTTTCCCGCACTTCTGATTTTCGTCACACTGTGACAGGATATCATTTTGATATCCTTTCACACTGTGACAGGATATCATTTTTATTCAATGAATAAATTACAGTATTTCACTGGTAAAAATATAATAAATCATGTTATCTTCAAGTTGTGGTTGTAAGCACATCACTTAAAATGTCTTGTCAATTTTCTTCAGAGCAAATTGCCATAGAATAATTCGGTAAAGAAAAATATGCATTGCTTTTCAAATTTGTCATATCAACGAAGCAAAAATGATGACATGTACGTTTAAATAGGCCAGTCATACAATATAATCAATTTTCTGTTTCTGTCGTTTTGCATTGCGTCAGAATCTTTGTTCGACAGATATTTCCAGCTTAAACAAGTCGACCCCCTACCCTCTGTGATTGGCCAACTCATATCAACAACATTGACACGGAAATAGTCTGTTACACGAGCAGTCCATCAGGGTTAGAAAAAACTTTCCAGTCGTTAAGCTTACGGTTAGGATGCATGTACTATTTTCCTTGAGCTTAGCTGTCATCATAGGCTGTTAAGTAAGAAAATATGCACACTTACATGTAACTGAAATTGATCATAGTTACTAGTAATTGTAAAATCTGATGTATTAGTCTGATTGCGTATTCATCAATTATCTGCAAAGCACACTGAATAGTGATCATTCACTCTAAATCAACCAATCGTACAATAAATTCATGCTACAGTACAGAAGTTCCACTATCCATTGATAATCCGACTTAACTCAATATGAGTTAAGTCCCGTTATGGAGACAAATTTAGATATAAAGCCCAGGAAAGATAACTCTCACTCAAATGCACTGACTTCATTTAGCCAAACGTCAGAAACATGACCATAATCAGGGCAAACAGATCAAGGACTAAGCGCCCATCCATATTACCCGTCGTGAGAATTACTACATTAATGTGACATATCCAAGTATTAACATCCCAAAGACGATATTAACCACTTGTGCAACCCTCGCAGTAGATGTGCTATCTACTTATAATAACCTGCAGGCATCATGTGTACCTCTTGCATCTTCTACGACTTTACTTCTCCAGTCACTACGGCAACCAGTGCAATTCAGTCAGCTATGACTGACTGAGAATGAAACCATATACAGATCAACTTCATATACCATATTTTTGAACTCTTGTTTGTGAACAACATGACCTCAGTGTATTAATACATTGGTGAATTTGAACCCAACTTCTCGTTGTTACTAAAACCAACGTTTACAAATGGTGCCCATGTACCTCGGACATCACAAATAGCCACCATGCAATGACATATCAGGGGGCGGGAAGTGATCACGTGCCTGCTGGATTCAATTTTGCAATTCACAGGTAGGTTGACGTCAATACCTTGTGTTATTGACGCTATGATGTACTGAGGCTCTTAAAGAAAGGGGGTAATAAAAATGTTATTGAAGAAAAAGTAACATACACTCATGAAATCTAAAATATTGAAATTTGAGAATATCTTCATTATTTTTATCATGTTTTCATATGAATCCCTTGTTTTACCGCCATATTTTATAGTACTCTATAAAACAGAAAAATTCGTTAATTGTTGGCATTTTGAGACGCCCTCTCTGGTAACAATACGGTAGAATTTTGCGTTTCTTACAAATATTGTTTAATATAGTATTACTTATCAAATATTTGAACAGAGTTTGAACAAAAAGACTATTGTCTATCTAGGTTGACGTCGTTGCAGTGTGTTTTTGACGTAATGATAATCTGTAGCTCTTAAAGAAAAAGTAATAAACTTACGCTCTTGAAATTTAAAACATAGAAATTTGAAAAAATTACAATATCTTTATTATGTTTTCACGTGAATCCATGGTGTACGTCATATTTTTTAATACTCTATCAAAATAGTAAAATGTGCAATTTTTTTTTGCATTTTGAGATGCCCCCTCCGGTAACAAGACGGTAGAATTGTGTGTTTCTTACTTATATTGTATAACATAGTATTACTCATCAAATATTATACTTTGAACAAATGTCTCTTGTTGTTTTTGTATAATTTGCTTTAAAGTGCTAAAAATTGGAATTTTCCTAAAAAATCCCATAGTAAAGGTACCAGTATTCTGAGACGGTCCCTCAAAAATACCTGGACGGTAAATTTCCCCAATCTTTGCATGTACACTGAATTTAAAGTAAGTTATATATGGTATAAAAATGAAGACTTTCGCTATTGTAGTTTTCACACAGTAAAACTAAATATAGTCCGACCCCTAAATATATACCTTTTTAAAGTCTGATAAAGATTTTGTTTTAAAAAATATTGAATCAACACTTAACTTAAAATTGATATATTAATAATTAAAGTTATATAAGAGGATTATTTTCGTAATTTTCATTGGCTGAAAGGACGTCACGTGATATTCCTCCTTTTGTGATATTGACGCGAAAGTGCGTCCGCGGAATATGATATCGCACGACACGCCGTTCGGTTGCACTATAGAACGTTACGTCATTATATAAGAAGCGTGTTTTTAACCACTGTGACGTAATGACAGCCAAGTCTGTTCAGTTAGAACTGTCTTAGTGCATTCACTTTAAGTGATTATATAATATAACTATTATGGACTTCAGTGAACGGTCAATATGTGGTTATAAAGACTCATGACAATAGATATTGACCTCAGACACAGAAAATGCTAACGACCTTGCAGGTTTGGTCGCTATCACTTTCTGTGTTTTCGGTCAATATCAATAGCCATGAGTCCTTATAACCACATATCGACCTACACTGAAGTCCAAAATTGTATTATATCTAAATATACACCATAGATAACATATCATTTTACTTTTGTAGATTAATAAACTTTTTTCTCAAATTTAAGCTGTTAAACAATGTAGGATAGGAAAGAATTGGTCTTGCCATTCTACCATCCTGAAAGGTGTATCTTAAAACCTATTTGTCCAACATTATAAGTCATTCTATCTCATATAAACTTTTATGAATCATGAAACAGCACGGTAAATTATTTGTCTATTATAAATCTCCGACAGCTGCTTCTATTTAATTCAAGTTTTCCAGTTCTTCAACAGGAGCGTTTCTTCTTTCTTTTTTCCTTCTGCAATAAGTATGACATTTAAGATTACAAAGTTATACCACATGATGATACATTCTTAACTCATTTTGTCTTCTATGTTTACTTTACACAAAAAAATGTAGCAAAGAACCTAAATTTCCTTTCTTATTTTTTCGTTTAAAAAGTTCGTGTATATACAATTAAAAGAAACAGATATCAATTCGTATTTTATCCGTAATAAACAACTTCACTTTTTCCAAAGGATATAAACAACAGCAACTAGCACTCCCACAGGCAGAACTACTGTCACAGATATTACAGCTTGTGATGTTGTATTGTTTCTGAAACAAGGCAAATGATTATAACTTGGATCTATATAGAATTCTCATTGTTAACATGAAGAATACAGTTCAATCTTTAAGACGCGATAATTAAAAAAAATCTAAATACCACACATTAAAAAGAACTAGTGCTAATTGTAACGGGGACCGTTACAGATGTTCCCCAAACGCTCCCCAACTCTCTTTTTGTGCCATATTCCCTGTAAGCTTCATTGAATAAGACAAACTCTATGCATTTAAGACTTTAACAACGTTTATACAGAAGTATACCGAGTTCATTCAAATTTTAGCATTGCACGCGTGTGCATGTGAATGCATATGCGTAATGACCATATCATCTTGTCTACACAATCTATATATTTTAATATACTAAATATTAAAGTATTTAATCCAAAAGTATTAAAACATACGCTCATTCAAGTGTATTTTTGATTTTACTCATTTCACGTGCACACACGTGCATACGTGAGCATGGTAACCATACCTTCTTGTAGAAGTCTATAACATCTATCTATGTTCTAAATCCCACCCCGTTTGGTTGAAAACCAAGGGAGTTGTAGGTGTTTAAAGTTTCAACCAATCAGATTGCAGCGCACACACACGCACGTGTATGCATGTGCATGGTGACCATACCTTCTTGTAGAAGTCCATTATATCTATCTATGTTCCAAATCCCATTCTGTTTGGTTGAAAAACAAGGGAGTTATAGCTATATAAAGTTTCAGCCAATCGGATTGCAGCGCACGTGCATGCACGTGTTTTCATGATAATTGCTATATATCAGGTTGTAGAATATCCTAATTCATGGCTATCTTCAAAATTTCAAAGGATTTCGTCAAAAAACAAGAATGATATTGAGACTATAGTTTCAGCCAATCAGAGCGAAGCGCACGTGCATGTGCGTGAGATCTTGCTTTTTTGACCATGTGATATTGTCTATGCTACTAATGTATCCTTATATTATGAGTTTCAAATCATTTAATCAAAAAGGTAAAAAGTTACGCCTATATTAATTAAATCGGTCATTTCACGTGTTGCACGCGCACGTTCTTGCAAGCACGTGCGCGCAAAATGACCTTCGTTCCGCAAATCTACATAACATGCCTACTGACCCTAAAAAGGTTTTACCTAAGTCGGATGTGTAGTTTACAAGATCACTCCGGGACAAAAAAGTACCCAGGAAGAAGAAGAAGAAAAACTAGAAAGTCTGCTATTGCAAGCAATAGCATATGTCGCCCCGTATTAGACAAGACTTTCATTTTTATCATCACTAAAACAAAAGTCCATAAGCTAAGTTTGAAAACCTTTGAGTTATATCAGTCCTTTCCATTGGAAACGGAAGACCTTAATTCGGTACATCCCTCTCATTATTTTTAGAATCGGTAGGAGAAGAAAGTAGTGCAGGAAAATTACAAGTTCCTCAATTTGCAGACTTGCATAAACGAAATCTGGCAGATGTACTGAACTGAGCCTCATACTTGTTAATTGGCAGTATCTTTCCTATCATAAAAGCTTGGGAAATGTAATTTATGAAGAAGATCAGCCGAATTATTTTGTGTATTGTAACGCCAGTGGGAACTCTGAAATTTCCCTCTTTCACTTTCATTTTAGAGGTTCTACCGAAAAACGAATCTGACATGCCACCATCAATTCGAGCATTTCTGCATTGCAGAGAGCTGATGTGTGTTATGAGATGATAAATCATGTGTGAACTTTCTCAGTTTAGCGGAATCATGAACATTTTCGGCGAGATGAATGTTTTGTATACAGTGGTGATCAAGGCTTTGCGAACCATCAGGAGCGGATCAAAGAATTTATGAATGAATAAAAACTATGGAAATGACGTACCAATTTTTTTATTTATACTTGCACTATCTAATGAAATGAATAGTATACAAGTGATAGATATACAAGAAAACGCGAAATGATAATAAATGCAGCTGACAATCGTTATTTTTTTTATATAGATAAAATAAAATATTTATAAATTCAAGAGACAAAACAGAAGGAGAATAAATGATGGCAAAATATCACATGACGGGAACTGAATTTTATGAATGAAGATTTTAAAAAGTTACTTGTAAGTTGTATATGTTATATCTGTGTATTCTACTTGGCTGTGTGCTTCAAAAAAAAGGGGGGGGGGGTCGTCTTGAACATGGTAAATAGCCATAACGTTTGAACGGTAAGTACTAGGGCTTTCGTATTTCAAATATGTAATCCTTGTGAAAAGAACTTTTATTGGATACGACGAACTTTGACCCTTTGACCTAGACCTTGGAGAACACATGTGTACATCTGAATCTTTTTTTCTGTTTCGTTTCTATGGCAACCGTGAGCGACTCATTACAATTATTTTGAAAGTAGAAATCACTTTGACACATTGCAAGGAATAAACATTGAAAGTTTCAAAACGATTGCCTGAGTAGTTATTGAGAAAATCGAAATTAAAGAATTTATACTTTCACCTGGTTTCCATGGCTATAATCGATTATATGAAAATTTTAAATACGAGTTGCAGAACTACAGATACTAATCCTTAAAATAAGAAAAGTTTCATGACGAACGTTTAAGGGACCAGAGAGAACACTCTCGGACAAAATTTGTCGCTTTTTACAGGTTTCCATGGCAACGGTAGACATATTGGAACTGAACGACCTCACTGCACAACTACAACCAGTGATCGTCCTTTGAGGAAAGTTTCAGGAAGATTGTCCCAGCCATCTCCGAGAAACAGCCTGGATAAAAAAAACATGCGTACAATATCAATATGTCGTCCCCGACTTCGTTCGGGGCGACATAATAATAATAATAAGAAACAGAGTAAAAACAATATGTTCCCCAACTTCGTTTGGGGAACATAAATATTCATTTGGTATGTACAGGAAATATGAGCGATATACTTAATTTTATCTAGTCAGCATCAAGAAAGTAAAGAAAAAGACAAAACAAGACATCCCTTCCCAAGATACGAAATAAATTTAACAAAAAAAAAAATGCTCATGGACCACATCGCTCAGCTCGGCTTTTTGGTAAGGAAAAAAAAACCAGTCAGTAGTTCAGTATTGAAACGTTTAGATAAACAATGGCTCCAACCTTTAAATAAATCAGGAGTAATTAGGAATGTCATGAACATACTTTAATTTACATTGTCTAAGGATGCTTTTTTCATGTGAATATGACAAAGCATGGTATTAAAGCTGAACACGAATCGTAAAGGGGATTCTTCCGCCATTTCTGTTCGGAGAATCCCTTTACCTGCAGACCCATATATAAAGGTAGGTACTTATTCTCTTTTCAGTGTAATCAGTCTTCACTGGTGTGGAAGGACGTATGTTTTAGAGCATTCGTTAGCGACATTAATAACGTGACGCTTCGTCTAAGCAGAAAAGTAAGATACCAAAGAAACTTTAGTCTCTATATAGTTGTACAGGTCAGTGCAGTATACAAACAAACAAAGATACGCGTAAATACGATAAAATGTAAACAATAGTAATGCAAGATAAGCAGCACGAACATTGGTCGCCATTTAACAACGATACCCGTGATGACATTAAGACAGTCAGGTGTGACGAATCTGAAGAGTATACCCTGGAGTTGATATATCGTAGATAATGATATCGCAAATGGTGTATGCCTATTTACGAGTCGTTTTCAGCTTTAAGAATATGATTTTTAAAGCTTTTGATTTGTATTTTTACATAAAACATTGATCAGCAATTGTAATTGTGACCCCACCCTACCGTCTGCGATTACGATTTAAGCAGACTTGAATTTACAGTTATTTAGCATGCTTCCATATTAAAATGAACAATAATGGCATACCCTCTTAGAGGAGATATTAAACTATTTTCTCTATGTTTTCATATGTAAGACATTGATCGTCCATTATTTCCCTCCTTATGCTTGTGAAAGGGTGATTTAATTCTTATAATAATTATTATACTTCAGGATTAAATGAATTAAGTTGAATTATCATCTTTATTTCTTTTCAGTATTTTGTTTATTGAATAAATCACCATGGAATTATTTACATCAATCTTTGTTTATTGAGTTATTTATAGATGTATGACATCACAGTGGTCATTGAAACCTATGTCCCTTTTCTTTTTTTTATCTTGTGTAGTGTCAGGGCAAACTTGGATTTCATTTGTTGGTTAGTTTCCCTCTCCTTTGGTTTTAGCTTAGTTACTGTTAAGTACTTGTCCTGAAGATCTTGGTCTGGCCAGCAGACATATCGGTTTATACATATTTGTCCATGTTGACATTATTCTGACAATGACCAAGACAGGACATTTTATATATTATATGTATATTAACGTAAGTTGACTTTTACTAATTTTTTTTTATCTCTGTATAATTGTCTACCTGTTTAAGTCCCAGATAAGTATGAAGATTCAGTCTTTGTAATTTTTTTATTATGACTTTGTAAATAATGAAAGTAAAGATCTCAAACGCAGTGTATTTTATATTTTTAAGAGGAATACATTAAAATTGTGACTTATTTATATATCGATCACAGCATGAGAAAGAGTTGTACATCGGAGTGTTTGGCTCTATATATATCCTAGTATATACGTATGATGTTTATGCATTTTAAACATTGTCCATATACATATATTATTCTGGAAGAGTTCAATTTGATCTCATTGTTTTTATCTATAAATTCCAGAGTCTTCATACTTTGTACATATTATTGATTAAGAAATATGACTCTTAATTTTTATCTATTAGCACAATTAAAGGGAAATAACTTTTCATTTTGACATGCCGTGCTATCTGGCAAGTGATCTACATTTATGTATGTTATAAAATATTTATGATTGTTTATATATATTGTGAAAATATTGAATACACTTATCCATATCGACAACATGGTGTTTGTGTTAATTATTCCCTAACGGAAACCCCATATCATGTTCAGTGTCATGATTTAAAACAATTGAACCTACACTGCCCGAATATGCCTCTATATATGAATATCTCTATTCATAACTCTTCTGTTTTTAACTGTATTTCTATTTCAAACTTTGAATTGATCACCCATTATAATCTCACCCTAGAACCTGGATGTCAATATTTCATAAAGCTTTACTACATGTATACTGTGATAAAGTGTATAACTAAATTTCGCGGAGGTTTGACTTTGGATGTTTGCGAGGTATGGAGTTAACCGTTATGTAAATAATCCCACGTTTCCAACAATCGTTGATGCCGTGGCGTCCAGTACTAAGAAAAAGTGATTTCCTAAGTGACTAAAAGATCATACATTATCTATTAATGTAAATGTCGAGTTAAAAAAAGTGCAGCAAGACAGATAGGTAAATGGATGTCGGACAACATGTGATCAGAAAACTACCTTGCGTCTATTGTCAGCTACGTGAGCTAAAAAAGAAAAATACACTGGTGTAACGATTGACATTTTTACCTCAACATTTAGCTACATGTAACACTCACCTAGCACTTTTGTCTTTTGGTACAGGTACATTTGTTATATTTCTTTTCTCTTTCAAACCAGTATTTAGGAGAGTACTTGAGTTCTGCTTGATTTGGATAAATATTCGATCAATAAGCGGCCGTGCTTGAAGGCAATCTTTATCTGAAAAAGATGCAAAATTGCATTCTGAGTGTTCTTTCTTTCTTTTGCTCTCATTCTCTCTAAGACGTATTTAATCAATGAAATGATGTATCTGAAAACCATTTTTTCACAAAATATATTGGTTTTATTATTTTTGATGAAATATGATACAAGTGAAAATAAATAGGATGAATTGGTAAAAGAATTGTCTTTGCACATTTTTTTTTAATTGAAATTTACTATTTTGATAAAGATTTATGATAAAACAGTACGATCTGCTATGCCTTATACCTGCTTAATTTTACTGTCTAATGTTTTATATTTTAAACGTTGAGCTTGAGTGGAAGATAACACATACAGGAGACTTTGAACACATTGATAACAAATGTCACTTTTCAAAGTACAGTGTAAAAGGTCAAAACTATATTAGTTGCCTTAATCAAGCATATTTGTTTTGAATGTTACCTGTTTTTTAAGCTTAAGACATGAGATTATACTGTAGCTGTTAATTAACTTACTTGTTTTAATAAAGGAGAAATTACATTCACAACATCTTCAATACTACAAATATTTGTTTATTTGCTATTGATTTGTATTTTCTTAAAATTACAAACCTATGGGGCTTTTATATGACGGCAACTTAATTTTACTTATATGGAAGCAATGGGAAAAAATAAAGGATTTTTTAAGGTAGTTCTATACTCGGCACTAAATGGGCTCAATCTTTAAAAATCTGCTTTTATAAGATAGACATACATGTACATCCCAGCAATGGATAGACACAAGAAAAATTATATGTCAACATGTTCACTTTTCCGCTATAGCCTATCGGATTATATACCCCGAAATGTAAAATACTGAAATTTTACCTATCCTAGATTTCGTTGTTTATAAATTAATATAAGTCTAAATATTCAACTTCAATACCCAAAATAGAGTAGAAACATGTTATTAAACAATAAAATATCATTGTTTTGCATGAATTATTATAAATAGATGCACTTTGTTAAGCTATTGTATCAAAATTTAATGTGAGAAAATATGCTTCCCAGGACAATCTCGGTCATTTAAAGAAAAATTATGGACTCAAACTTCGTAAATTTTCATTATTTTTACTAAATTATATTTAAGAAAAATAAAAAGCTTAAAAAAATTATATGTTGACGCATTACTTTTCGTGGTATGAGCTCTACACTAAAGGTACCCCCCTATTTTCTTTCTTCCAGAAGTAATGTATTGCCACCTATTTCTGTTATACTGTTAATGTTTGAGTGTATACTTGTATTAACAAGCTTATACATTATTTAAAACAATAATTATACACACCCAAAACCTATTGTCCCTAAAATTTATCTATTTTACTCGAAAATAAAAATAAACACTTGTCTTTAAATTGGAGACGATGAAAATGAAAGTAATTCACTGATTCTAAGAAACTGGATGATTTTGTTACAGAAAGTAACAAAGTATGCTGCAAGTGAATCAACTTTTGTCAAATACTTATTCAAAAGATAATTTTGCATTGGGGTTCGTGGGTAGGCAGGTTGGGGGAGGGGGTATGTGTTTTATGCAATTATTATTATTTAAAGTAAATTTTGTCATGTTTGATTAGAAAAATCCATAAATTTTCTAAGTCAAATCGTAGTCATTACTTTTCTTCCGAATTATGACTATTAGCTTCAACTTGGCCGCCGACAATAGTCGCCTCGATAGTTTGATACAGTCATGTTCTGATGTAGCATGTATATGGTCCGTGTTTTCGACGCGGCATATCAAACATGCATCATTCACAGAAATATCGTTTTATTACCTAATTATTTCTGTCAACCGAAAGTTGTTCCCAGCCTTTTCTTTTTAATTAATTTATCCTTAAACTGTAGAATATGTGTTTGTTGACGCGATCGACTTCGAGGAAAATCGTTACCGGATATTTAAAACGCTAAGTAAAACTCAAACCAATATAGTTAAAAACTCTCATCTCGGAAAAGGACGCGCGGTTCCAGTTTTACTATTCGTAAATGACGTAGTGCGAGTATAGAACTACTTTAAGGGAAAATATTTCAAGAGCATAATGATATTTGAAAAAAAATATGATACATAAAATAAACTTTCTTTTGTTTTTAAAACTTTTCAACAAAAGGTTTTGAAATTTTCCTTCACTATAAATTGGAGGAGAAGAAAACTTACACTGATACATTTTAGGTGACATAATGCGGTTGCTAAAGCAATCTTTACATATTCTATCGTTATTTTGCAACCTCTGTCCACCGTGGTTATACTCAATACATAGTCCTACAAGAAATTAAATATTGACAGTTGACATGTTTAATTTCATTATTATAACAGACAATCAATGTTTAGTAAATGTCTAATTTTAAAACCCATTTCTTTATTTTCTTTTTTAAACATGATGGCCTTTTTATGTACTGTATAGCTATAATTATAAAAATATGCCAATTTGTTTTACTCTGTATATTGAGGAGGATGATATGGGTATTAAACGGATTAAACTGTGTCCCGCGGGAAATGGTATAATTCAAGTAGATTAAGTTATGGAAAGTGCTGAAATAGAGCTAGCATACAAGTACTATTTAACATACATGTAGCTGCAGAACTGTAGAATTTAAATTTTAGTTTTATATATCAGTCTTCAATGCTACAGATCCCTTATGCAAATAATTATACAAGGTGCAATTAAAGGCAAAAAAAATTATCGCATTTTGAGGCAATTTTCTACACTTTCCAGAATTGTTCAATCAAGTACAATTCCTAGTTCAAGACATATTCTGCTTTCTTTATGTTTTATCCATATTTTCATCCTTTGATGTCGTCTCCACAGACCAATCAACCGAAAACCTTACGCCTGAAATTGCTCTTTATCTGCATTACAAGATCTACAGCAATAATGACCAAAGACTAATATTTCAAAGTTATTCACTGAATCCGTGTCCCCTTAATAGGAAACAAGAGACCCACGGGGCCCACGGGGCTTGAATCGCTCTTCTGATCAATTGAAATATCTATCACCTTCCAGTAGAAGCCTCAAGCTCTATTTGTATCATAAGACCCAAAATGCATCAACTTACAAAGTTTGATAATATTTATCCAGTTAAGACTGAAGATAATATAATATAATTATAAAATACCAGAAGTAGGTAGCTGTGACCTACCTTTTGACTGAAATTTTATGAGGACTCAAGATACATTAATTGTCAAAGACTGATGATTCTCATTAAATAAGTACCGGAGATATTCAAAAGTAGGTCACCATTACCTACTTTTTGATCAACATTCTTTGAAAACCCAGAATGCATCAATTGACAATGTTTGACATTTCTAAGCCAATTAGTATTAGAGATAATTAGATATAGCCATCAAATGTCAAACGAAGGTCCCGATGACCTAATTTTTGGTCGAAGTTATCCAAAAACTTAAGATACCTAAACTAACAAAATTTGATGAATCTAAGCCAAAACGTACCTTAGATTTTTAAAAGTAGTTCATTCAATGAAACCCCAAGATGCCTCAACTGAAAAAGTTTGATGATTCTAAGCCAATAAGTACCGGAGATTATTAAATATAGCCATAAAATGTCAAAAGTAGGTCACAGTGGTCTACCTTTGGTCGACGTTCTCCGAAATCCTAAGATTCCTAAACTGACAAATTTTGATGATTCTAAGCCAATAAGTACCCGAGATATTCAAAAGTAGGTCACCGTGACGTACTTTTTGGACTACATTGTCCGAAAACCCAAGATGACTAAAATGACAAAGGTTGATGATTGTTAGCCAATAAGTGCCTGAGATACTTAAATATAGCCACAAAATGTCAAAATAAGGTCACTGTGACCGTCTTTTTGGTCGCCACTCTCCGAAAACCCAAGATGCTTCAACTGACAAAGTTTGATGATTCTAAGCCAATAAGTACCGGAGATATTTGAATAAAGCCATAAAATGTCAAAAGTAGGTCATCGTGACCTACTTTTTGGTCGTCAATCTCCGAAAACCAAATATGCATCAACTCACTAAGTTTGATGATTCAAAGCCAATAAATACCTATGATACTTATATATAGCCATAAAATGTCAAAAGTAGGTCATCGTGACCTACTTTTTGGTTAACAATTTTAAAGGACCCAAGATGCATCTACTGACAAAGTTTGATGATCGAAGGTCTGAAAGTAATCAAAATATGCATTTTAAACAATTTGAATACAAGTGTCGGCAAAATTAAAAAAAATAGGTCACAATGACCTTCTTTTTCATATATATGATTTAAGGTCTCAAGATGCATCAAAGTACAAAATTTGATTATTTTAAACCTCCCAGTGTCTGAAATAATAGGATTTAATTTTTTTTAAAAAGATAAGTCATCAAGTTCAAAAAATATGTCAAGGTGACCTAATTTTAAGTTGACATTATTTGAGGACCCAAGATGTATCAACTGACAAAGTTTGATGATCATAGGCCTTAAGGTGCCCAAAATATGCCTTCAAATCAATTTGAAAACAAATCCCTGCAAAATTTAAAAATTAGGTCACCGTGACCTACTTTTGAGTTAACATGATGTGAAATCATAAGATGCATCAACTTACAAGATTTGATGATCCTAATTCTTATAGTACGCAAAATATAGACGTTTTTAATAAATTGTAAATTTAGGTCAACTTTGAAGTGACCTTGAGGCCACGCCCTTTCCACGTGCAAATTTTATCTTCGTCATATCCTGATTCTTGTTTGTAAGTTTGGTGAAAATCTGCACGTTGGTTATGGAGAAGAAGAAATTTTAGCAACCAGTACTTTTGGTTTTGTTTTCCTGATTATCTCTCCTTGTTTAAGGGTCCCAACCCTTATTTAGTATAAATGGTAGTCCTTGGGCCAAGTATACCCGTTGACAAATTTGGTACTGATTGGCCAAGGGGTTCTTGAGTAATGGCACATATTCTAAAACGTTAATGCACATTGCACACCGCATAAATGGCCATAGCATTAGCTCTTTGAGCCTTTGGCTCAGAAGAGCTGAAAAGAAAATGAAGGGATGTAAAGAGAAGGAAATTTTAAGAGGGGCGGGTGGAATTAAGGTGTTAATTTATAAAGATAACTATTGCAAAATCTCCTACGGCTCTCGTTCTATCGCTCGAAAATGGAAGTTTTGCACACAAGCAAAATGTACGAATGTAAGACCTTGACTACTGGGTTATCCGTATGCTGCAGGGTGTTTTTTCTCGTAAAATTTCAAAAGCTCAGAGGCTTCTAACGATATTTTGCGGAAAGAAAAAAAAGAATGGCGCATACGTGGACAGACCATCAGACGTACATGCAACACATCCAATTAATATTGAAAATCCCCCACATTCAGTTAAAGCGTTTGACAAAGATCATAATTCTACAGCAATGCAGGTGTATTAACATTTGAAGCTTAAGTATATCTCTTCTGTTATTAATTATTACATACTAGAAAACATATTTGACTGTGTGTAAGCAGTCACTGTTTGTCATAGCAGATAAAAAATAAAAACTTTTACCATACTTTTATTTAAATATTTTTGAATAAGAATCACAATAAATTAAATTGTACCGTTTATGCTGCTGAATTCCACTGCACAGACTTCTATTAATTGTCCTTTTGAATCAAGAACGCAGTGATACTTAAACTTTGCTGGATTAGTGCAATTTTGCATAACATCAGCACACTTTGCACGTCTTTTGGCAAGTCTAAATTCATGTGCATTTGATGGACATTCTTGGACCATTCGAATTGTTTCCATTGATTCATGACAATAACGTGGTACACGTACTTGACCTCCATTTGCCGTAGATACCTATACAAAAATGTTCCTTAAAACATTTTGGTTTTACTTAAAATGACTCTATTTACTTTCAAACCTATAAATAATATTAACATGAAATGAGATATAATTATATTAATTTCTAGTTAGAAATAATACACTCAGTACTGATTTGCTCAATATTAGTTTTCTGATAAGTTACAGGAAGTCCTCAGTGGTAAACTTTTAAGAAAGTTAGCGTATTGAATTTTCTTCCTTTTGTATCTTTCATGCCCGGATAAACAGCGTGAAAATATGTTTTTTGTTCTATTTGCACTTGTTACGCAGATAACAATCCATCAAAAATCAAAATAACTACCAATTCTAAGTCCCATATTTTATCTTTTTGATATACATGAAACAATACTTGACTGTATACTAGGAATCTTTGTAATTAAGCAAATAGTTGACAAGTTCATTTGCAAAACTCTTTTTTAAAAGTGGAATTAATGATCCTCTTTTTGGTTTTTACCTAATAGATCTATATTTCCCTTTATTCTCAGAAAAAAAAATGTCCGTACTAACAACATGCTTTTTTGCATTAGCCTTTTCGCCTAAGCAATTGCATCGAGGTAAGGACCTCAGAGTAAAAAAATACATCGCATTTTAATACAGAATAGACACAAATACATATTAAATGCTCACAAACATTTATACCTGTACAAATATCAAAAGCCACAAACACAATGGTCCGTATGTCAAATGAGTTTGAAGAAATCCTCGCTTTAGGCTATTGTAGAAATCTATAGAAATGAAAATATTTCATATATTTTTATTTCTTAAAATGGGTTTTCCAGACAGAACAAGTTTAGAATCTACGCAATCCGGTAGCTGGCGGGAAGGAAAATATTTCATCGGGCGGCTGCAAAAAATAGTTCTGGCGGTGGGAAGATATATTACTGTGATATCACTTATTTTCGTGGGGGTTTAATTTTCGTTGCTTTTGTGGTATGAAGAAACCCAAAAATTTATGTCGACCACGAAATGCAAATATTCATATGTACAACTACTAAAAAGTTCTTCATCCATGAATTCAAATCTTATGAACAAACATTTTTTTCCTCAAACCACGAAAATTTGTCACCACGAAAATATGTGATTTTTCAGTATATGGCGGCCGCCAAATAAATTACTTTATCCAACTTGCACCAACCAGCATATATTCTGAGGATTTTTAAAGGCATACGTTTGCCCCATTCAGGGATAAATATTAACAAAGAGGGGGAGGGGGTACTATAATTCTAATTCTATCGTCAGGAAATATACTGTTTTGTGCACTGATGAAGACTGCTCTGTTTCGCGATACAAATCGAAATTCAAAGGTTAAAATTCTGAGAGTATATGATATATATATATATTTTTTACTTTAAATTCATGACTCTAGAAGTACGGTGAACATACAATTTTTTTTCGGGAATTATTCAGAAAAAAAATTAATAGTTGGTGAAATATCTGCGTTAATATACGACTTTGGTAATAATTGCATACTGGTAAGTGTATAATAATTGTATTATGAATGTTTTATTTCTATTCATTAACGTAAAATTAAAGTTAAAAAACTTAATGAAGAAAATGTGGCTTACCAGCAAAAATAATACTATGTATCGAGAAAAATTCCCATTTCTTGTTAATCGTTTTGGTACACCGGGCAGCCGATTTCTTCAGTCTTCTTCGTCGTCTGTATTTATGTTTTGCTATGAAATAAATAATGTCATGAATTTTTCGAAAACAAAATTTTGAAAGGCTAAAAATCTGTAGTAACAAATATGAAAATAAAAATTAAAATTTCCTAACAAATTTAAAGCTATGGACTAAAAAAGTACATGTACCTCATAGTATCTTACCTTTCTTTTTGCGATCTGGATTCTTTATTAGAGTATCCTCAAACTCTTCGGCGCTGGACATTGAGTTTTCATCAAAATCATCATCTTCAATACACTCTGATATGCCATTCACATCAAAAACATTCCCAGATTCGTTCTAAAATCAAATATATTATCGCCATACTGATAATATATGTTGAAAGATTCACGTTTTGGTGTCCAAGTGGACATTTTGATTAATTATTGTACTTTAATACGAACGTTTGAAATTTTATATCCATTTCATAATCATCAAACAAATGTGCTCTTCGCACTTATTTATTTTCATGTTATGATCAATCAAAATAACAATTTGTTTCAATGAAATTTATCCAGTAAGGCAATTGAATTTCTTGATACACAAATCATTATATTTTATCTAAATCATTTTAATAGAACATGACCCTATACAATTGTAACATAAATAGAAATTTGCTCAACGGTGAAAATGTATGTGCAAATAACAATGTCATGACAAAAATTTATCAGGCAAGGAAATGGTAGTTATTATAAGACCCTGGTGAACAATTGAGCATTTTTGGTAAAATAAAGCAAAAAAGATCATGACAAGATAAAAAAAAAAACATGCTCGCCGGTTCATCATCTTTAGTGATAACGACAAAAAAATTGGAAAGACATCTGTGAGGAAATGCTCACTAGTAATACCCCGCTCTGATGTATATGTACACATTCATGTATATATACACACGTCAGGTTGAGTTACGGGCAAATGCACGGATAATTAGGAAGGCGACATCAGATTCATATAAAAAGAAGCAATCTGAGCGTATTGCATAAGCAATACATGTCCCCAAGCGGGTTCCCCTTTTTCTCCAGGATTTCATTTTTTTTATCACCTGAGCCGAAGGCACAAATGAGCTTTTCTGATCAAAATTTTAATTGCCCGTTGTCTGTCGTTGTTGTTGTCGTGGTTGTCGTTTTCGTCGTAAACTTTTCAATTTTCATCTTCTTCTCAAGAACCACTAGATCAATTCCAAACAAACTTGTTACTAAGTATCCTTGGATTAAGGGGATTCAAATTTGTTCAAATGAAGGACGATGCTCGTTTTAAGGGAAGAAAATTACGAATTATTGAAAAATTATTGGAATAAAAAAAATCTTCTGGAGAACCACTGGGCCAGGAAAAATGAAATTCATGTAGAATTATCCTCAGGTAGTGTAGATTGAAATTTGTTCAAATCATGACCCCTGGGGGTAGGGCGTGGCCACAAAGGCTGATGAAAGTTTTACATAGGAGTATATATGGAAATCTTCTTAAATCTTCTTCTCAAGTACTTCAAAGCCATGATCAGTGATATCAATGTGGAATCGTCTTCCTTAGTGTAGATTTAAGTTTGTTCAAATCATAACACCTTTCCAAAGGATAGGTTTGGGCCACAAAGGTCAATCTAAGTTTTACATAGAAAAAAAGGAAAGATCCCAAGAACAGAAAAACTTGTTTAGTCATATTGACATGTAAGCATTTTCATATATTGAAGATTTAAATTTGTTCAAATCATGGTCCTTTGGGGTAGGAATGGTATCATATTGACATGTAAGCATTTTCATATATTGAAGATTTAAATTTGTTCAAATCATGGTCCTTTGGGGTAGGAATGGTAGGACACCATCACCCCTACCTCAGTACTTTTCAGTTCTGACCTGATCTGTGCTTTTTCTTAGCCTATGTGCTCAGATGAGCGATTTGGCCCCTGGGCCTCTTGCATAATATACAAAAGTTCTGCCGAGGTACAACTGCTTGATTTTGAGGTTGTGAATGCCTTTAACCTAATGAAATAAGCCACATTAAGACAAAATTCAACTCATTTTTCCAACGTTTTTTTCTCGCTTCATCAGTGCATATTTATGTCAACCATCGAAAGTTAGCGCAGCACAAACTCGATCTTAATTAAGGGTATATGAAAAATTCAAAATGCCAAAATTCTGCCAAAAGTCAATGCAGGTATACGATATTCAATCTTGATCTGTAACTTATACTCACATACCATACTTCACCTCAATATCTGCAAACGTTTAGAAAAAACAATGCTGAAAAACAAGTGGGACGGACTGACAGAAAGCTAGACAAATGGACGGAATGATAGACAGACGGACGAACAGACGCAGAGGAAACCTATAGTCCCCTCCGGTTAAAATTTCAAGAATCAGTGAAGAGAAATTGCTGAAAAAATTGTTTTATGTGTGGTACGGCCAGGCGAACAGATAAACAGAAAGTTTACTGTGGAATCATTATTGTTCGTGGGGGACCAATGTTCGTGGCTTTCGTGGGTAATCCTGACCCACGAATTAACATCCCCACGAACGTTTAAACAAACATTTGTTTTATTATTCATTAAAAGTTAAATTACGAAATAGACCTTGTTATCAACGAAATTACGTCCCAACGAACCAGAAAATTTTTGGCTACCCACGAACATTGACCCCCACGAATAAAAATGATTCCACAGTATATCGTAGTGGAACAAAAAATGAATACTTCCATCTGGCATGCTTCAGCAAAGAATTTCCTAAAAAAAAAATCAAGCATCTGCAATGGGTAATTACTGAAAATCTGCGCTAAAAAATGATATGTATTGTTTCATGAGATGCCTAGATAAAGAGAAAGTTAATATCATACTCGTACAAAAAAAAAATCCCACGTTATGACGTGCCTCAACAAAGAGTTTGCTAAAATTTGAAGCATGTTTGATTAGTATACTGTAGTTGCTGTATCAAAAATTTTGGTAACTAAAGAACGAACACAGACACACAAGAGTAAAACAATACTTCCCCTATCCTTTGGATCAGGGGTATAAAAAATTAACACTTTCCTTGCAAATGAAACTGTATATATTTTAACAGTATATGCAATGTTGAAGCATAAAAAAGTCATTTATTCACAGGGGAACCTTATCATTAATTTTGACAATCAAGGCTGCTTAAGTCCATAAACAAGACAATCAATGCTCATATATTTTTTGTCTTTTATAGTCAGAATAAAAGATTAGTAAGAAATAGGAGATAAAGTGTTTTTTTTTGACATAAACCAAATGCTTATTTTAACTCTATTTTACTCAAAGAGCCAAAAGTGATGAATAAGCACTAGAAAGTTGTCCTATCGAAGGAATGAAACATAATTATGGAGATAACGAACTGTAATCAAGGTCAAAAGTCCATTAAAACAATACAAAACAGGAGCAGAGCAAACAAAAACCTCCAAAGCATCAGAGGTGAGATCAGGTGTCATGGAAGAGTAAGCATACCGTCGAAAGCATAAACGTGATACAGTGGACCTTCAGATATCTGAACGCCAGATATCCGGATGCTTCAGTATTCGGACGCTTTTACATCGGAATAAAATTTCAAAATGTAATTATGTCTTTTCTAACTGGTGAGTCAGGTATCAGGACGCTTCACATATCCGGACAAATTGACTGGGAACCAAAGCGTCCGGATAATTGAGTCTCCACTGTAATTGGTTTTGCTTTTTTATTATATTCATGTACCTAATGTGTACCACTCAACTTTACTGTAGATATAACGCAATCACGTGACGCCGTGATCCGACTTTCCGGATCACCACACATGTTTTCTGAATCCATATCACCACTCCCTGAAATTGATGACGGAGTATGCAAAAACATGACGTTATTTTTCTTGCGCGTTAAATAGTCCATTGTTGTTATGGTTTTGTTTTATGAATAAATATTATGCAATAGATCTAAATGTACATTTTGCTATATTCAGCTATTTATAAGTAAGTATATCATAAATTTATCATTATAAAAGTAAATTGATCCGAAGAACCGTATGACGTCTCGTTGACAGGCACGGATCATCAGATCAAACTCGACGATCCATGCCTGTCAACTCGACGTAATACAACCCTTCAGATCAAGTTTCTGTTATAAAATATATATTTATTATTCTTTTTAGATTAATGCTTAAAAATATTCCCTTATCAATTTTAAAGCAAGAAAATCCCTTACTCCTATTTGTCATGTCTTCATAGAAAAGATTTCATATACATTTTTGGATCCCTGTATGTCTCCTTCCTTTACTTATTTGAAAATATTAATATATGTACTTCATTATCTCTCTTTCTTATCTATCTGTTCGTTTGATATCGGATTTATCCAACGTGCTGAAATAGTGTGTTTTTTTTTTTCAAATATGCAAATACTCAAAGGTTTAAGGACAGATGATACAAACAATTTTTTTTCTTTGAAAAATATTTAATATCATGTCACAAGTTTAGAAAAGTTGATGGTTCTTATAAATTTTTCTCTTAAGAACTGGAATATGAAAAAGACTTGGAAATTATTATTTTATTTCAATTAAAAAACAAATCTAGACAAATCACATTCAGTATAAGTTTACAGGTGAAAATAAATTTTAGAATATATTACATTGGTGCTAAAAAGTGTAATATAAACTTAAGAAAAATATACCAAGCCAGGTAAATTTTATTAGGAAAACCTAAATGGTAAAAATCAGCCTACAGCAAATCTCGGTTAGTACGAACACGGATATTGCGAATTTACGGATATAGCGAAGTTATCTTGGATCCCCAGCTATATAAATTGAACGAAATTTTTATATGGATATAACGAATAACAGATATAGCGAAGTTATTTCAAAGATCCCAGTGACTTCGTTTTAACCGAGTTTTACTGTATGTGATTTTGCAAATTTTTTGCCATTTTGATTTTCCTCTTAAAATTCACCTGGCTTGGTATATTTTTCTAAAGTTTATTTTTACACTTTTAGCATCGAGGTAACATATTCTAAAAAAAATTTCATTTGTAAATATATACTGAATGTGATTTGTTTATATTTGTGTTTTCATTGAAATAATTTCAATTTTTCCAAGTCTTTTTCATTGTTTTTCCACTTTTCTAAACTTTTGACATGATATTAAATCTTTTTCAAAGAAAAAATTTGTTTGTATCATCTGTCCTTAATACGGCACGTAAGAAGTGGGGTCTTTAACAAAAATGCACAGTGCATGGATGAGACGTAAACCGAGCCCAATATGCATTTTAAAGACAAGTATTATATATACCTCTCATGAAACATATGGAAATAACGAACTGTATTCAAGATCAAAAGTCAATAAAACGGTACAAAAAACGAGCAAACTCAGACCTTCAAAACATGAGGTAGAATCAGGTGCCATGGAGCAGTGAACATCTCCTGCTGACTGGTCACACCGGCCGTGTGTTCCCTTTCATGATCGGGAAGTAACCGAAAAGCCGTCGTGAATTCAGTGTATAGATAATGGATTAGTATAAGAAAGTAAGTCAGCATTTGAATCCATGATAAATTTTAATTGCAGACGAGGTCATTGTATCAACTATAGAAATTACGAAATATTGATTTTAAATAATCTAATATAAGCTAAAATTCTTATTTCATCAACTTCTTATTCAATAATTTATGACGTTTTATATATCGTTCATACATAGTGCAAGATCTTGCGTATCAAACCAACTGAAATACTTAAACTCCGTATGCGGGTGTTATCTAAGTGATTTACGTGTGATTCATGAGATTTACATTTCACGTACATGAAATCTAACTGTCTACATAAGGAATTTATCCTGCCAATGGTCCTCCAGAAGACTAAATATTTATAGTGTTACATGTAATTTATCACTTTCCCTTAGAGAAGCAAGTCACACTGCATTAACTGCATATTTGATGTCAATTATGAAGCTTAACGTGGGATCATGTTAAATAATGTATTTCTGAGGCGTTGTGAGATATGTTTCAATCCAGTTTGTTTTTTGTTTGGTAGATCATAGAAGGGGCAACTTAGCAATATGATGAACTTGAAGTTAGGCAGCATTAAATCGCTTAACCAATTAAATTTCAAGACTTTTATCAGAAACAGATAAATGAATATGAACAAGGCTCATCTGGAGAATACACACTATTTAGACGCATTGGATAAAGTCAATATTATTTCACTCAAATATAAATGTAAAAGTTAATAATCTATTACGATTTTTTTTTACATAACTTTGAGCTAAACCCTGTTAAACTCTACAAATAATTTCATCTATTCAACATGTTCAAACTGATGACGTATAAATTGAAAGGCCGTACTATTGATGTTGACATTGTAAAAGAAGGGAGAAAATATGAAATCTTTGCTATTCGCCTCTCTTAAAACATGCAAACATTTGATAATATCTGTTGAAGATCTATTTTGATCGAACTATTGAATAAAAGTATTAGGACAGACGGATCATTAGTTTTTAATTATATCGATGATATCGTTCATAGTTCAGTGGAAGTGTAAAGAGTGCTTCATTGTATGCTAAGCTACTTGAAAAATGAACATTAAAATTTTCTATTTAAAAGGCATAAATACATTTTTAGTATAATGTTAAAAGCATTTTGAAAGTGCTAAAGGAATCTTGCATCAAAATCTTAATTGCTACTTGAAGGCCTTACGTTTTCTTGAAAACTATTTGGGGGAGAGGGTATCATATGACTTCATAGTACCAGTATGAATACATTGATTAGATTTGAAACTATATTACATGTAAGGTATACATGTACAATTCTTTTTCTTTTCCCATTTTGTATTATTTAAATAAGGTGGGAATTTTTGTCTATCCCTGTCAAATACCTTTGAATTCTGTTCGGGATCAGGAACATTTTTAGTCCATCTTGACCTGTTGTCTGAAAAAAGGAAAGCAGATTCATTATTTTTCTCTAAAGAACAATTTTTAACGAATAAAGTATTGTTTAAACAACAGGTAGAGAATATTTCAGCCTAATATTTTTTATATATTAAGTTTAAAAAAAACATTCTTTTATCACTGTATGATTTAGTTTCAACAAAGAAGTGACCAGTGTGTCATCAAAACCCACTTTTTCACCTATTTCCTCCTGAAACATGAATATAAACATAAGAGTATTGTTTTGTCAGAGATGTAAGTGTTAATAAAGAGTGTATTAAAAATAGAAGTCACAATTAGACATGTACTGATAGATTGAAAAAGATCTGATTTTTTTGTCAACATGCATGTATCTGATGCAAAATATTTGAAAATTATATAAAAAAAAATAAGAGCGAAAGGTGGATTTCGCCATATAGATTATTATAATGAGTTTTCATCTGAGGGTACATCGTGCCCCAGACGGGAATGTATATCACTATCCACTGGTTTGAATTTTCAACATGGGGATTAAAAATGGACTTTTAAATGAAAATTAGCAACGGAATTATGTAGAATCTTGATTTACTCTCTTTTAATTGCAAAATATTAGACTAAAATAATGAAATTGTAGTTACTAAACAAAACACATAATCTTTGATTTTGGAAATCATAGCAACATCAAAATTAAAATGTGAAAGATAATACTGAATCGAAGTGTACCCTAGAATGTACTTGTATGCCAAAAAGGTAAAAACTGTTGAGAGAGTGGTGTTTTAAAATAAAAATCACAGAATTTTCTATTTTTGGTGACCATGAAATCACCTTCATCGAATTCAAAAACATAACTATGTAATAAATTATGTAACTATTGTATTCTAATTGTGAACTAAGTTATATTGAAATCCGACCAAAATTGTCGCTAGAGTAGCATTGATTTAATAAAAATGATAACAGACAGGTGGACAGACAGCTAGACGGACGGACAACTTACTGTAGTGTAGTGTAAAGGCCATCTGAAAGAAAAAAATATTAAGATTAAGAAAAACACCAAGGACATTTGAACATTTAATAAATGAATACTTCAGCTATTAAATGCATAATCTCATAATGATTAACAATAAAATAAACCCTGTTAACAAACATCCTCTTTGTCTACTCATTGTGAAATTTTTAAGAAAGAGAGAGAGAAAAAATTGCATTAAAAATTCAAAATTATAGACATTATATATTTGGATAACAACACTAAAATAGAGATATTATGTATGGAAATTGCCCAAGATGTCTTGCAATTTGATATATACATGCCTGAAGCTTGCATCAACAATACTAATGACATCGTGTGATTTAGGGATTTAAATTTTTATCTTTATTATTTTTTAATTCTATTCTCCATTATTTTTATATTGCCAATTGAGCATGATTGCATTTTGATACGATCATGATAATTAAACTTACAAGGATGAAGAAAAAATCCTTAGTAACAATTTAATACATTCATTATTTCCTTTATCTTACCCTAATTATTAGGAAAAGTGGATAGAAACTATATGACGCTTTTTTCCAGTGCAAGTGCGTACTAATTTTTGAATGAAGAAAATGGCAAAAAAATATTTTTTCGCAAATTTAAATCTAAAGTAATCTTGACAAATTGAAATTTTTTGTCCAAACATAAAATAAAAAAGGTAAAAATTTAAAGTAAATGATAATTAAAAACCATTAGGAACTCGTGGGGGATTCCGTTATTTGTAAAGTGAGCGTTCTGCCCTGTCGCACACCGTAAAAACTATATATTGATCAAATTTATCTAGTATATGAACCATTTTGCATTCAAATTTAGTAGAAAAGTAAAAGCCAAAAAATTGGTTGGATATATGTTAGCAAAATACCATACAGTGATTAGTTATATATGACTAAGATATTTATAACAATTGACATAACATTTAGTAATGCTGACTTAAGAGGAGATTGTTGTAATCCATGTGCATGTAACATTAAATTTGAATAAAATTTGTCTCGGTTTAAAAAATGGTCGTACTCTGCAGGGCACATGTATGCTCTCTGGTTAGATGTACAAATACCATCAACCAGGTGATAGTGGGGTATTATTCTATAGATAAAGAAATGTGATGATAATAAATGAAATCGTCCGCGTTTGTCTTACAATATTTTATTAAAAGTTCTTTTGCCGTTACTCGGTAAAATATTCCAGATTGATTTTTGACAGAATCAGTCAGTGGGTGGAGTGATTTATTTTAAGTACACTTAAGTATTTTGCGTTGACATATGATATGAAGTAACTATTTCAAATTCACTTGACGTTGTCGAAAAATATTTAAACATCGAGTTTAAAGCCACAACAGGTGTTTTTTCGTCATGTAGCTGTTTTTTTTAAATAAACTCTCCTTAATAAGAATGTTAATACACGTCAGCTCATAAAGGAACACAATAAGTGGCCAACAACATTCCATAGTACGTTTATAATATGAATGGAATACAATTAATTCAAAGTAATGTCTGACAATGTCATCCACCTGTAGGATAAGAAATAAGCCGATAAAAAGATGGAAGGGAGAAAATTATAATCAAAGACGGATCTAGCATTAAGGAAAATCTTGCATTCTAATTCATAGCCAAAACTTCCGTTTAATTATATTTGCATACACTTTTTTATTCATAGCTTAACAACGAAGTTACACACAGAATAAAGACTGAATCGAACATTCCTCTTCTTTTGTTAAGAAAAGATCTTATTAGGGTGGGGGTTGTGTAGTACAACAATCCTTGACCCCTTACCAAACCCCCTTTTCACTGTTTTCAAATTTGTTTTCTATTTTTGTTAAAAATATGTTGTATTTCTAATGATTATCAAAAGTGTGAATTTCAGTTGCCGAGATACAAGATAGATGTAAAGCTTCACACCTTTGCCATGTAAACAACCCCAGTGTCATGTTTTTGTTTACATAACTGAAATGTTTTAATATATGTTCGTTTAAAGCAGACTTTTTAAATAAAATAGTTAATTCTGAAAACTATTGGATAGTTTCCTGTGAATAACTGAATCTGTATTTTCTTTGTAAAGGAAGAATTAATGTTCTTTTTGCTAATCAATTGAATTGTCTTACTTAGAAATTGTGAACATTGAAATTAGTGAACAAAATCAGTTGAAACTGTGTCAATATCCCTTTAATATTAGCTATGGAATTTAATACTTATTAAAAGGTGCTACAATCCTAAAGTGCTGCAATCCCATGTCTCTCATTTAAGGTACAAACAGCGTTTTCAGAATTATTGACATTGTGTAGTTATTGTACAGAATTGAATCCGTGTGTTTGCATATCAAAACGCCTACGTTTAATGTTCTGTATTCCAGCAATTGTTACATGAAAAACACGTGTGCGGTTGACTTCATTTAGGAAAACTCGCAAGAGCATGTCAGAATCTGATCAGTCTATATTGTTTAAGTTTCCTCTTTCCTGTTTACACTCTTAACTCTTAGTTTCCTACTTAAAGGAAATATGCAAATTCTGAATTACGTTTATTGTTTGCAAATAAATTACTGTAAAGGACAGATCATACATGTACAAGCACACTTTTGTCAACAAGCTTGAAATAACGAATGAAGTCAGGTTCAAGGGATAAATATAATTAACTTTAACAATATAGATGATTTTCATTTTTTGTTGAGAGTTTCAACAAGAATCGAATTAAAAAAGACACAATTTTTAAAGACTTATAATGATTGGTTGCAGAAAGTAGCATTTTCAAAATTCTTAGAAAGTTTACAATTTCCTAATATTAAGCATTAGACAATGTATTGCTTGCAATGAAACAAAATATGTCAAAAAATAGCTACCAATGAAGGAATTCTTGCTTTTTTGGCTTCTATTTGTCCTTAAATTTCTTTTCTTTTGTCATATTTTAAAACTTATTATACATAAAATCCCATTGTCCCTAGGCCGCCGAGGATTGACTCAGATAAAGTAAAATCTAAACATGCTTGTATAGCATCAATTTTCAAGGGAATTTGTTGTTTCGAGCTGTTTTTGAGAGAAGATAAAAATAATGTTCCTTTGAACAAATTCTAAATGCCCTACAGACTTACAGTAAATGATAGAAACTGTGGTGAGAACTTGTCTTAGCCTGGGAAAACTTGAACAAGAGAGGTAGATTTGATCGTCCAGTCTTATTTTTAATATGTACCATATGTACATGTACATCGCAAGAATTTTAAATATTTTTTTCTGGCCATTGCCGAGTTTATGGTTTTCAATTTACATTGTACTTGATATTTCCGCACAATTTTTTTATTCATATTTTCATAAACAGCTCATAAGAATAACTCTTGAAAATTTTTGTCAGATATTTTTTTAGAAGTAGGCATAATTCTAATAACATGTATCATTAATCATGATCAGTTAAAAAGTAATTGAAGAGTGTTTCTTGGACTATGACTTGTATTATTTATTATGATAATAATTCGAGTAAGGAAACAGTCACTGTGACTCCTGAGACGTTTTTAATGAGTTACAATTTTGTAACAATTATGTACAATTATGTCAACAAATACCCGTGTGGTAGATATATAAAACAAATTATTGCCGTAAATGATAATATTATTTTTTTCTTCGAAGGAAAGAGATATTTGATTATACTTATTGGAAATGTTTATTATTTCAGATATATAAGAACGTTTTACGTTTTGCAGAATACGAAATTTGATGGCTACTTTCGTTTTAATGAACCTGATTATTTTTTCTTCTATTTCTACTCCCCTACTTGAAATGTTTTAAAGACACTTCTTTTTGTTTTTAAATTTTCCCATTCACTGTGAACACTCAGGAATTTCACTGTCAAATTATGCTACAAGAGAAAAAATACCTTTGATTAGTACAAGTTTCCTTGTCACTTCCGCATTCGTCATAAAAGTAAAGTGTTTGCTAAAAGGCGGAAACAACCGAAGGATATTAACAGGAAAATCAATCAATGATCACCAAAATAACCTAATTAAGATTTTGATTGAAATCATTAGCATCATACTTCAATTTAAAATGCATTTTAAATTTGCAATGGGATTTTTTTTTATTTGTTTATATTCAACACATACATTCATTATTCCTTAGAGATATACCTCTTCCACAGCTATGTTATAGGACCGTAATCGAAAATGTGACCTCAGTACCCCTTTTTATGTATTACTTTTTAATAGCAATGTAAATAAGTAACTGAATACATGTAGACAATGTAATAAAATTATCCATAATGGATAAGGCTGGGCCGCACACATATGTACCAGTTATATCACATGTCTCAGCTGATTGTCACGTGACTAATATTTTTTTAACCTGATAAGGATAGTGAATGGGAATACGCATGTTTTTGAAAAAAAGAAAGATGTGTTTGTGAATCAATTATGCCTATATGGCAGTTTATGGCGAGGTCATTACGACACAGCTTATGGCGAGGCAATTTTAAAACGAGGTCAATTTCTTATAGGTATTAAATGTCAAAAATGACCACTTGAGTGCTTTCTCTATAAACAGGAATTTCACAGCAAGCTAGGGAATAGCTTTGCAATAAGTTATTTTTCTATATGGGTTACCTTTTGTCCTTACTCCGGCCTTAAGTTTTTTTTTTACTTAAAAAATACTTTTCACAGATTCCAAATTCTGTGTTGGTAAAATTTGCTTAAATATCAAACATAATGAACTTGTTGGGGTTTGTATGCCTATTTCTATTGATTTCTCTTAAAAGTGCCTCAACACCAGGGGTGATCAAAAAGATCGCAAACTTTCCTATTATCTTCAAAACCACAATTTAAATTAGAATAAAGTTTGGCACACACGTAGCCATAAACAAGATCTTTAAGTCGCTGATGCTGAAAAAAGGTGCTCTTTGTTTATGATGTCACAATGTTAAAATGACATGACTATGTAGATCACTTAAGACAAAAATGGTTGTCTCTGTACGTACTGATTCAACAAACGACTGTTAAGTTTATGATATATCTTGGAAATTCCTTTGCAGTTGCGTTTAATAATTTGAACACAGTTAATTGAGACAAAAACATTAATATAAACTCAATCAATTGTCGGATTGGTCCTTTTAGTGAAGGACAGAAGATGGTTAAAATGGTATTCGATCTGTTGTTCAGTAAAAGCAAGTTTGAAAAGAGATGTATACAGTGTATTTAATTAAGTAATTTGTTAAGAAAGAGCTCCAATTAAAAGTTTGAAAAATAGTTGATTATCTTACCAATATAATTATCGAATACCTAAGATATCTTTTACTTTAAGTATTAAACAAATAAGATATGATAATGAGGCCACCTTGAATAAACGACTCTCACGAAACAGAAGATTTGGGGTTTTACGATCGCAATGCTTTTTTGAGAAATGATATTCATATCCACCTTATAGTAATCTGTAGTTGAGACTTGATCATTTATGACAAATTGACTGTTTTTGGTATAAAAATTCACTTGCATACATGTAAAAGAAAAAAAAAACTCAGAAACATCTTTCAGCTTTTGTGACAGAACGCAGGTCACATAACCGCCAATATCTCGTGATTCGTACATGATCAGATCGTTTGCAGATGTGAATTAAATTTGGAGAGTATTAATTTAGAGTAAAATCAACATTGGAACGAAATATTGTTTCTTTAATGGAGATTATGCAATTAGTTTGCAACTTTTTTTGATCAACCCTCCTTAAGGAAATGTATTTCTAGTAATTTGTTATTGCTATAGGCATTGTAATGTCAATAATTCTATTAAAAATAAATAGTTTTGTTTTTATAGTTTAGTTTCCGTGTTCTGTTTTTATTTATCAAAGGGATAATAAGTTGAACAGAATGTGTTCAACAATGTTTTCTGCAACTGTATTGGTGATTTGTTACTTCCACTCGATCAATGCTTCAACAAAGAATTACGATTATTTATGTTGGTGAGTCGCATGCTAATCAAGTCAAGTTTTTGAGGAAATTGGTTGACTTTCAACAAGATAAAATACCTGATGTAATCTTAAAAGACAAATCAATTTTGATAACATTGTTTTTATTATTCATTACTATTTAAGCAGTGAGATTAATTCAACGCTTGCTTTATACTTGATTTCTACAACCAGTATTTCAATGATACAGTACTTTAAATAAAAAAAAATCTACTTCTCCTTATATATGTTTTAACATGACTTTATGAATTACCTGAACTATTTCATCATGGCAAAATTAATATCTTAATGTGCATTTATTTTTCCTGTTATGCACTTTTGTCATTCCACGTATGCAAAAAGCTGAACGATTGTGAGAAGCTGGAAAATAGAGGCTATTCAAGACACTGCATGTAAAATGAATGGTAAAGAATCAGTAAATTAGATTTAAATTAAACGCTTCATTCAAGCTGCTGTAAATCTCGCTAGGAATCCCACAGAAATATTCACTTAAATATGTAGCATTTACGACAACCAATGTCTGATTTACAGACAAATGAGAGCAGGTGGATTTCAATGATAGAAATTATATAATGGGTATCAAAATTAGGTACCGTCCTTGCCAACAAAAATAATAACAACTAATGTACGGTTTGACAAATTTCAACAAATTATCACTAATGATAATTATATGATTGACTTTAAGACATATAGCAAAGAACTATATGCATTATATTAAATATCTATGCCCCCACCAAAATTAATTTTTGAAAATTCTTGAAATGTGCTGAATTCTTTAAATTGTATGAGATATATAAATTAACAGAACATATTATTGTTTCAAAGTATTTAATTCAAAAATTTGGTTTTTATGACGTCACAAACTAGTCCGATCCATATCATTTTTGAGAAAGAGGACAAAATGGACAAAATTTCAAAACTTTTCACTTTGAAATTTATAAAGCGCAAGTTTGTTCAGGTACAATATTTACATGTTTCATTGATATTATCATTCAACACATTATATCACAATATCGAGCATCAGACATGCGCTCGGTGACTTTTACTCAAAATATCGACGTAAAATATAAATTTTTCTGTTGAAATCAGGAAATTTAAAATTTACGTCATTTTCATGACGTCATTTCAAACATATGACGTTATTGAATATGAAAATATTTAGTGCTTTGAAGTCAGCATATATCACCCTGTTTAAGAGCATAATTAAATACTTTTTCGTCCAAATTGGATTTTGTGGGCAAATATTGGTCATTACCGAATAAAGTTCTTTGATAGACATCATTGCGGGAGTACTTCACGCTGTTTTACAGAATTGTTTGACAGTAAAAAAGCTAAGTATTTCATGGCCACCCGATGTTTTGATAAATAAGTGAAAACGACACTATGTAAGAACAAATAAACAATTATTTCTAAAAAATCAAAAATTGTAGATATCCAAGTTTTTTTAAAATTAAAACGAATAAAACTTGAATCTATTGCTTAAAACCCTCAAAACAAAATTAACAATAAGTTGTACTTGACAAAAACAGCAAAGGTATGAGAAGAGCAAAGAATAGCAAGTGCACAAAGACAGGTTTATACGCAATTTTCTTATATATTAGTGATCTTGTTGTTCAAATTCGTATTCGGGGAAGCAGTTTTATTTCTGGAAGAGTCTAAAAAGCAAATATTTTGCAAAAAATCGAAAGGTTAATTAGAGGAAGGAGTCAAAATCAGGAATCCACTACATTAAATGTCTTCATTACAGTGTCCAATTCCGCACGCCCTTAAGAGTAAATGAGTTTTGGAGATAAAAAGAAAGTTAATTTTTTTCATAAAAACAATATTCGCAAAATCTTTCGTCTTTGACTTGTTTCATTCTCCAAAATTGATAAAACATCTTTCAGAAGGAAGAAACGAACCCAGGAAATCCTAAGATCTGCCATTTTCTAGTATACTGAGGGTCATATCCAAAAATGACTTCTGAAAACAATCATAAGTTGGATAAAGAGTTGTACGGACATGCGTAGTTAATAAAAGAGAATATCAAATTAAATCCTTTATTCTAAATCATTGAAAAGCGTCCTTTGTTTCTATCCGATTACCGAGGACTTTATTTATTGAACATCCCTCGTATATGTTTAGATTTTATTTAATTATCACAGATCCTACCTTGTCGGAAAACTTTTACTGTGTCGCACGCATAAAATTTGAATTGATACTGTGTCGGGAGCAACACAGCAAACAGTTCATTGGGAACCCTGCTTTAGCAAAATTTTGAGTTAAAAAAGTATCGATCTTACTAGATGTCATTTCTGAAAATGAAATTTAAATTCAAAATGTAAAAGCTTTTACAGACTTTACAAACCACTACATTGTACTTAAATTCACGTAATTATTACCAAAATTGATATGAAGGGTATATGGAAATGAGTCTGATTCCAGGGATAGAAACGGAAAGAGAGAATGTTGTGATGGTTTTTCCTGGAATGACACCATTAAAGACTGTATAGGTGATTTTTTTTAACATTGAATACATTTTATAACGTAAATGTGACATTTCAGAGCTAGACAATAAAAAAAAGCGTTTGTAAAAAGGAAGAATACTATCTAATATTTATATATCCTGTTCAGTTCCAAAGAATTATTATTAGAAAAACTATATGAAATCTTCCTAATTTCAGTACACTTGATTGATTTTGTTGCTATTTTTGTTGTACAAACATGTTTTATTTTTGTGTTGGTTGATTTCAATTATTTAACGAAAGCCAAACAATCTCTGTGATTTTTGTCTGTTATACAATGTCATGTATTCTCCTTATTGGTAACATTATGACTATCAAAAACTAGCTTTACTTAGCCTACAATAAAAAAAAACTGTTCCTAAACTATCAGATTTTGAAATTTTCGACGTCCGATCGATAATGTCCATACGTATTGAGCCCGGTCTCCTTTTGGTAGCCTTAACCATTGGACTTATGAAAGGGGCTTTTAAGAAAGGAATCTTTTAACATG